CTCCCTCAGTCTGAAAACCTCTTGATTCAGTTTTTGCAGTGAAAAAATACTGTAAAACATTAATGAGAATTCAAAAAACACAAAAAAGTTAAATGTCCAGATGCATTGCAGTAATGAGTCTATGCTTCATTTTTTTTTTTTGAACAGTGTCTCAGTGGGAAAGTCACTCCTTCCACCCCCCCTTCACATAAATTGGCTAAAAAAATTTAAAAATACAGTGCCAAAAATTGATTGACGCCTTCACACACAACGATTTAAAACAAATATATATATATAAACATATAACATGCATAATGTTCAGGTTTGACTGTAATTGCAAAAAAATAATGATACTTCAGTTAAAAATGTTAAATTGTTCTTATAATAATGATTTTATAATGTCTAAACATAAATCTACAAAACAACAACTTGGAAATGCTATATGAGGCATTGAGTGATCTCTGCTGCCGTCTACTGGCTGTAGTTCAACGTTCATGCTACACTCAAAAAAATCTCTCTCAAAACTCTTTGAATGAACATAAAAGAAATCATGGAAAGGATTCCACATGATTAACTTGCTTTATTTCAGCATTATGCAATTCTGTTATTCCTATTTAATGAACTCACGTTGGGTCAACTTAATTTACTAGGTTGGGCACAGCTTAATTTAATATTGTCAGCGAATTTAAAAAGGCTCCTTAATATGATTCAGGTATTCAAATTCATATATTCATTCATCCAATGCAATATACTTTATTTTAGTGTCACACCAATACATTTCTAGACTATAGCCTAACCAAATGCTCCACTCTTCTCCTCAATGGTAACCCACTGTAATTTAAATGGTTCTAATAATTCCAATGTAATTGAACATTAAACACAATTACACACTATCAAGTCTTCCCCTTTTCTCATTTTCTCAAAAAAACATAAAATAACACTTCATTTTAACATTTATTCTCTCTTAATTCAACCATATGCAAAGCATGCTGGGAACTAACAAGCACCGCCCAGTTTCAGTTAATGCAACACAAATCAATCATGTAATCCAGGGGTCTCAAACTCAAATTAACTGGGGGCCGCTGGAGGTAGAGTCGGGGTCAGGCGGGGCCGCATCAAGTATTCCACAAAAAATAGTATTCAAGTATTCCAAAAAAGGGGCACAACTGATCCAATCTTCTCAATCTTTATTATTAACGTTTCTTCTGAACTGTTCCTCTGAATTTGAACATTCCTTTCTGTACATGATTGGTTCTTCATGAGCTGTCCTTCTGACAGTTGAAGTTCATTTTACAAACTTTCTTTGTCTATAACACATATTTGTAATATTTATATTTGCTTATGTCCTTTTTATTTTCTTTATACAACACATTAATGATATTGAATGTTTTTTTTGGAAGGCACATTTCCTTTTATTATATACTTAGAAATACAATTATTGCTTTTGAAATACAAATATTTGCAGTCATGTCTGCCCGTCTTATTGAATTCTTTCTACACATGTATAGTGTCTCAGGCAAATTACTGACTGCACAAATCAAAGCAAACCTTCTTATCAACCTGTTGGACACATATTACAAGCTCAAAATGATTATTCTCACATTGTTTTAGAGCAGGGTCTCTCTCCAACACGTCGCTCGCGAGCTACCAGTAGCTCGAGGCCTGATTGGTGGTAGCTCGACAAGGGGCCGTTCACATATCGCGCTCACATATTTTGCGCGCTCAAGTTCGTTATTTCAAATGTAGGTGCGCGTGCGCGGCAAGCACGCTCATAATTGAAGCGACGCGCTCATTTTTTCCAGGCGCGCAGTATGTTTGTACTTCGCGGTTGTCTATGGCAACTATTGACAACAAACCCACCGTATGGTAGCCCATTTAAGACTGCTAGTGTTGCGGAGTGGGCGTGTTACGGATACGTGGTGTAATTTTTTTTTTTTTTTATTAATTGAAATCATGTTTTATGAATCATTAAACTTATACAACTTTTTTTTTTATATATATATATATGGAAAAAAAATTCACACTAATTTAGTGTTGTGTTTTTTCTGGTAATAAAATGAAGACATAACACAAATATTAGCATTTATCATCAATTTTAATCATATGAAATTAAATAAACTTTTTGTCAAATAACTTGCTGCACAATGAGCTTTAGCCTACTGTTAAAATTAAAACATGGATTATTACTTAAAAATTTCAGTTTTGATGATAATTTATTTGGATTAGTGTTAGTGTATTATTACATTGGGACATATCTAAATTCTAATGTACAACGGTAATATATTTCTGTCAAGTTAAACCGAACTTTTATTTTGACGGGTTGCCGTGAAGACCTTTTGAGTTTCTGTGTGTTTGTCATGATGATAGTTTTTCTCAAATGAAGCGGTGAAATGATCACGAAGTGACTTTCAGAGTGGATCCATTTGTGTCTTCATATAGGGCAAAAAACAGCGCAAGCGTCACACGTGCTTCAGTGTGTGTGTGTGTGTGTGTGCGTGTGTGTGGTAAATGAAACAGCGCCTTAAATACACCCGGTTTCCTAGTTTTTCTTATCTATTTTGTACTTTTCAATCAACAAACAAACAAAAAAATGAATAATTTTGACGGCATTGATGAACCTGTGGTTGTTTCTGCGGTGGGTGAGAAACGTAAGGCATCGAAATCGAATCATTTACGTGAGGAGATTAAGAAGATGAGGCACTCGGGAGGAGGAAACATGTGTTCAATCTTCTTTACAGTTCTTAATAAAAATATTATACTAATAAGCTTACGTTGTTGTGATCATTTCACGTTGTTGTGTATTTTCAACAGTTTCAATATGAAAAAAAAATACTTTTATATTGATTCAATGGATTAATTGCATTTTGATTTTTTTTTTTTATGGATTTATTGCATTTTGGGGAAAAAAATAATCCGTTTTTATAATAAATCTTTGCAGATAAGGAACTCCCGCACACTATCGTTACTTGCAATTTAAAATTAATGTTTATTCACACACAACGTTTCGGTCACACGACCTTCATCAGGAGTCATAATAAATCTCATAATAAATCTTTGAAAATCAAAACCTGGATTTAAATTTTTTTTGTTATTATGACCTACAAATGCTATGTGAAAGTTTGAAACAAAAAATAGTGGTTTTTATCTTTCCACTTTCTTGGTAAAGAAAACACATTTTTACTCAAATTAATCTAAATGGATTTATTGTGTTTTGGAACCAAACTCTTCATATATATTATTATGTTATAATAATAAAAAATGTCTGGTCAGAAAAAGGAATATTGTTGCCCTATGTGTAATTGCATAGTAAGCAACATATATTCACTCATAAGTCTTCACGAGACGAGTCATAGCTGCATACATACCTTTATTTTCTGCATGTTGATATAAGTGACGCGATGTGCAAATGAGCAGTATATTCCCCTTTTATTTAATTTTTGCAGCACATGTCTGACCCTGACACACACTGATGCAGGCCTCACACACGCAACATGTGCATGCAAACACTTCTAGTTGTGCAAACTCCATATGTGTGTGTTCCTGAGGCGGCCTGAAGCTCAGATCGGTTTGCTGTTCATCTCTCTGTCCACACTGCACACTGTCTGATCGAGTGCTCGCTTTGCTCTTCACTGAATTAAAACAAGGGATCTAATCCTGTACCGATTATTACCAAGTGAAATAGCTTTGATTCGCTCAGCTATCAGAACATGATCATGTAGGAGGAACCAGAACATGTTAGATACAGTGTGACATTTTCATCTACTTATCAAAAACACATGAAAATCATTCATAATATACATGCGCCAACAGTTATTCAATTCAAAATAAACAAGAACCGGCAAACTTCTACTTCTGCTGCCAAGGATTTATTAAAATGAACAACGTTTCGAGTCAAAGGGTCTTCATCAGGCAAGCAACAATCATAGAAAGGTATTAATATCAGTGTGAACCGTCACACCGGACCTCATCAGTGGACTATTCACCCGATCATCCAGTGCAGTAACGACCTAATCAAACACTAATGTAATCACGAAAGAAAAAATCAAACTACAGAAAAAAATTAACAAAAAAAATTATACACAAAAAATGTTCACAAGAAAAGTTTCAAATCAAACTCCATATTCAGACCTTTTGGAGAAAGAGTATGTATATAAAAGGTATATATGATGTCACCACCGCTTCTGATACTCGCTCTAGAAGAGTCGACAAACTGTGTTTAAAAACATTGAAATGATCAGCTTATGCTTATTAAACAGTTATTAAAGCAATAAAGCAACAGTTCAACTTTGAACTTCAAATTTGAGCGTGTATCTAGTGTCACTGATGATTAATCGTCACCGCTAGGTTATTAATGCAGGATGAGTACAGTAAGCGTGAGGTGAGGTGGACTGACTCGTGCTTCGATTGATCTACTGTACTTCCTCACACTGATCTGAGGTCTGTGTCTGTGTGTTTAACAGTCCCATCGAATCATTACACTGATCTGAGGTCTGTGTCTGTGTGTTTAACAGTCCCATTGAATCATTACACTGATCTGAGGTCTGTCTCTGTGTGTTTAACAGTCCCATTGAATCATTACACTGATCTGAGGTCTGTCTCTGTGTGTTTAACAGCCCCATCGAATCATTACACTGATCTGAGGTCTGTCTCTGTGTGTTTAACAGCCCCATCGAATCATTACACTGATCTGAGGTCTGTGTGTGTGTGTTTAACAGCCCCATCGAATCATTACACTGATCTGAGGTCTGTCTCTGTGTGTTTAACAGCCCCATCGAATCATTACACTGATCTGAGGTCTGTCTCTGTGTGTTTAACAGCCCCATCGAATCATTACACTGATCTGAGGTCTGTGTCTGTGTGTTTAACAGCCCCATCGAATCATTACACTGATCTGAGGTCTGTCTCTGTGTGTTTAACAGCCCCATCGAATCATTACACTGATCTGAGGTCTGTCTCTGTGTGTTTAACAGTCCCATCGAATCATTACACTGATCTGAGGTCTGTCTCTGTGTGTTTAACAGCCCCATCGAATCCTGTCAGCATTTCCAAAAGGACTTCACGTTGCAGATCGACATGGCCTTCAATGTGTTTTTCTTGTTGTACTTTGGACTCCGTGTAAGTTTATGTACAGTATTATGTACAGTACACACTTCTGCTGGACACATCACACACTTACCTTTCACTTTAAATTAGCTTTTATTTTGATATTTTTAGTTATCGTTTTAGTAAAAAAAAAAAAAATTGTTTTGTGATTTTGTCTTTTTAAAAATTTCTTTAATATATATATATTTTTTTTTTGTAATTTCAGTACTTAAACTTTTTTATTTGAGTTTCTAACATTTTCGTACTTTATTTTATTTCAGCTTTATTTCAATTATCGATTTTTAAAGAAATATATTTTTAGTCAACAACAAAAGCACTGGTTTATTTATCGAATGTGTTGACTAATATTCAATGTTATTTTAGTATTATGTTTATTTATTCAGTGTTATTTTAGTATTGTTTATATACCATTTTAGTGTTTATTAACATTTTGAATAAGCTTTCCATCTTAATTTTAGTTACATTTTTAGTAATTTTGTTATGTGATTTTGTCATTTTTATTCCTTTTTTATATTTCTATATACAGTAGCTTTGATCAGATTTATTTTTAAATAATTTTAGCACTTAAATTTATTTATTTTGTTTATATCCGATCATCTGTCAAAATATTCGCATTGGATTTTATTTCAGCTTTATTTAAATTTAAATACAGATTTTTTTTTTTTTTTTTTTTTTAGTTAACAACACTGTTTTAATTCTATGCATTTGTTGAGTTAACATGCATTTCCCCCTTTTGTTTCCTCCCCAGTTCATCGCGGCCAATGATAAGCTGTGGTTCTGGCTGGAGGTGAACTCAGTGGTGGATTTCTTCACCGTTCCGCCCGTGTTCGTGTCCGTGTATCTGAACAGAAGCTGGCTGGGTAAAGCACTTCACACCATCACCCGTCCCGCTCTCCCATTACTGCCACTTTACCGTTAATACCCGATTACTCCATCAGATTATGAGCCGAGGGTGCTAGAAATGAACCCCGCTGGAGGATATAAAGAGCTGAAGCGCTCGGCCTCCCCCTGCTGGACACTATACGCTTCACAGCCTCATTTAAGCTCAATAATCGCTGCTTGTGTTGCTCATGCGTCATGTGTGAAGTGTTTCGAGGGCATGTGCAACTGCGTCTAAACAAAACCTCGGAATGATCATAAAACGATTAAGCAATTGAGCAATCACAGATATTATTTTTTTTACTAATTGCGGTCAGAGTTATTGTCTGTGGTAATGAAGCGGGAACAACTGACCTCAGCATCCTTAATTAACCTCTGGATTTACTGGATTATTTCTGATTTTCCTAATGAATGACTATTCGAGTGAATTGATTTGTTTCATTGTTTGGCTGGTTTTCCAAATGAGCTTGTGTTTGTGGATTGACTTTGATTTTAAAGCCTAGCTGGTGGTCAGAACTTACTTTTATTCAGCAAGGACGCATTAAATTGCTCAAAAGTGACAGAAAAGACATTTATAATGTTCCTAAAGATTCTATTTCAAATAAATTTCTATTTATCAAAGATTTAACTAATTTATCACGGTTTCCACTAAAATATGAACTGGTTTCAACGTTGAAATAATCATAAATGTTTCTTGAGCATCAGATCCTCATATTAGAGTGATTTCTGAAGGATCATGTGACTCTGAAGACTGGAGTAATGATGCTGAAAATACAGGAATAAATGACACTTTACTGTATATTCACACACTCTATATGTCAGTAAACGCTCTGTGAATATACTGTGGTTTGAGGAGAGAGAAACACTGTTTTAAAGCTTCATTTCCCTCATGAGTCTCAGTCAAAGCGCAGCTTATGTTCCTCATGTTTTCAAGGACTTTAATCCTCCAATAGGGAACGGGAGGTCACGGGGTCACATCATCCAGCTTTAGACTTATTATTATTCAGCTTTCATTAAATTAAAGTCCTTTTGTTGGTACGTGTGTGTGTGGAGTGTGTCCAGAACAGTTTCATCCTGGTTCGGGGTGTTTAGTGCAGTTTTCAGAACTTCTGTTTGTTGTTAAACATAAATGTGTGTTGCCGGGGGCGATGGAATGGTTGCTTAGCAACTGCACAGAAACATTCAAAAAAGCCACGTTACATTAGCCGTGTTTCCATTACAGATTTGCGCAAAACGTTTGCGATGTTTTCTAAATGTCGATAAAAAACGATTGCGAAATGATGACGTTTCCATTAACCGATGTTATGCGACTGAAACACCTTTTTTTTTTTTAACGACTCGCGATAAGTCATTCCTACAATTATGGCGTCTGATGCTGGTAGGTTTATGTATATCCCAGCCACTGCATTAGCCATGATGTTTAATGGAAGGAGACGTATAGTCGTGTTATCCAAGCATTAATAACAAGGAAAGCCCCTTATGCGTGTGTATGAGGAGTTTGTGTGTGTGTTTCTCCCTCATATCTGCTTTCAGCTCGTGATCGTGGCATTTCTTAGAGGTTTACAATCTTTGTTGTCTTTTATGAGTTTAATAAAGAAGAACTTCTGTCCGAACACACTACGTCAGGCGACTGTAAATGCGCAAAAACTGTTTCCATTGCAGTTTGGAGAAATATTCCTTTATTGAACCTCCTCATGCGAGCGTAAAAATGAATTGCGATACATGGACGTTTTTGCGAAATTGACGTTTGGGTGTATTTTCAGTTCGCTATTTCAGTTCAAGGGTAATGTAACACAGTGTGTTCAGAACAGGCAAACACACTCAGGAGACGCTAAAGATGGAGTAATGTGTGTGTTTCGGCACGTCAGGCGTCAGTGTTGCGCTTCGAGATGCTTTATTGATGAAGCGGATCTGCTGGTGATGTCGAGCAGGCTTTCTCTGTCAGGCCGTCCCAGGGCGATTCCTAAAGGAGCTTATACTGTAATATCCTGATGAAAAAGGGTTTGTTCTAAGCTTTCACTACACGACTACATGATCACAGCCGGGATGCAGGTCTTTTGCAGTCTGGTGGGCTTGGGTTTGTTCTGAGAGCTGCGGTTTCACAGACTCAGATTTGATCGTTTTCACCGTTCTCATCATGATCCCGACGAAGTTGCTGGTGTACCGGAGCCCTGACGGGGCCACTCGCACCGAGACCCTGCAGAACACACGCAGACGCAAGAAGTCGTGCGGCGAGCTCTTTCACAACGGCTACCGTGTGAAGATGCTCCACGCGCCGGTGTGTGAGCGAGAGGAGCGTGACCCGTGTCATCACACACTCTCCTCCTGTTTCCATGCCGTGTCGTACTGGGGTAAGCAATGTTTCAGAGCTGGCTCTTCATGAGACACGAGACGAGACAAAACGGCTGAAAAACTAAACCTACACTTTGAAAATAACACTTTACAGTAAGGTTCATTCGTTTCTTCAGCATTTATTAATCTTAGTTAATATTAATTTCAACAATACGCTATTAAAATCAAAGGTTGTATTTGTTTTTTTGTTAACAACTGTTTATTAAGTTTCTTATTTAAAGTCAAGAAACACAAGAATACAAAGCAAAAAGCAACTAAAGGTTGTATTTGTTAACATTAGTTAATGCTAACATGAACAAACAATTTGTATTAGCTAACATTAAAAAGATGAATAAATACTGTAACAAATGTATTACTCATGGTTAGTTCATACATTAACTAATGTTAACTAATGAAAATTATTGTAAAGTGTTACCACATAAATATAGTCTTAAAATGATGATGTTATTTACCATTCCTCAGATATGTTCAATAAATATGTCAAACAGAAATATACATATGTAACATTACTACAGTGTCCTGACAGAAGGAAGTTTTCCTTTTTATTGTAAAAAATATTCCTCTTTTATAAGGTTTCACAGCTGGGTCAGTTCTTTTTATCGGGTATTTATAAAGATATTCATAATATCGGGGAATATTGAAGTCAGTTTTTATACTGAAGTGCAACTGAGGAATTGTCTAGTTTTTATTTCAAGGAATTTATGTTTTTTATTAATATTTTTTTAATATCATTGTTTTTTATGCCAGCTTATATGTCAAATTGTTTGGGATTGTAAGATAATTTTCCTCATTTTAAGTTTAAGTTTTGTAAGCAGTGAGCAACATTTGAAAAGTGTCTGTGGTGAAAATTCACTAGATAGAAATGAAAATTCATTCATTTAACTCTGCATTTGTCAATATTTCTTGTAATTTTTGTATCTGACATATTCAATACTTATGAATAATTAATGAATCTAAAATAATGCATGAATTTTTCCTTGAATTATTATGATTATTCATTTCTGCGACCTGTTTAGTCCCACATCTCAAGAATCAATATCGGTGTTTTATGTTTTAGCTCATGTGTGCTTAATCATAGCTTATGAGCTTATCTTTTGGAAGACTCAGAAAACCATTTGAACCTTTTAATCATTGGGAAAGGTCATTCATAATCGCTGTTCCTCTAGAAACGCATAAAAATGAACCGTGAGGACAAAAGGAGAGGCTTTTTCTTGGGTTTTGTCAAAAACGTCATGCGTCACACTGTATATGGAAGGTCAAGTGCATTGCATTGTGGGATACAGTATTTGTGCTGCTGTGTGATTTGTTGTTTTCTGACTACAGAAAATGTGCGTAGTATGCATACCATAGGCAGCTCCAGAGAAAGGTCGTATAGTAGTATGCTATTGAGAACACAGCCGGATCTGTAGTGTGTAGTGTGTGCTTTTACATGTCCTTGTGTTTGAAAGTGAACTGTACGATGCTAAACCATGAAAAACCAATTGATATACACTACCGTTCAAAAGTTTGGGGTCAGTGAGAATTTTATTTTTATTTTTTGGAGGAAAGAAATCAGTACTTTTATTTATCAAGGAATAATTAATTTGATCGAAAGTGACAGTAAAGACATTTATAATGTTACAAAAGATTCTAACCCTAACCATCAAAGAATCCTAAAAAACAAAAAAAACTGTACAACTGACAGACCAACAACTGTTTCAACATTGATAATAATAATAAATGTTTCTTGAGCATCAAATCCTCATATTATACTGATTTGTGAAGGATCATTTGACACTGAAGACACTGACACTGGTGATGCTGAAAATTCAGCTTTGATCACAGGAATAAATTACACTTTACTATATATTCACACAGAAAACAGCTGATTTACACTGGAATAATATTTAATACTATAACTGATTTTTGTTGTATTTTTAATCCAATAAGCGCAGCCATGGTTAGCAGAAGAGAATTCTTTTAAAAGTATTTAAAATCGTACCGACCCCAAACTTTTGAACGGTAGTGTATGTGTGAATCTGTCTTGCAAGGTCATCTCACTGAAGTCACGTGTTTCTCTCAGTGTTTTTGTTGTCGCTGCTTTAATGCTTCTGGACCCGAATGTAGGCCTTTACGTCACGAATGCTGTCGCTCTAGTCTAGAGAGTCCAGATGTGTTGAGTCCAGCTCTGATGTTATATCTCTTTCAATCGCAGTTCTACTTTGAGTTAGTTTCAGTTAGTCGTGATAAATCAGTGTCTTTGTTAAACATGGATGAGCGTCTCAAAGGTACGCGCCGAACTCTCTGACTCTTTGCGTGTGAATGTGTTTTGTGCATCTGTGTTATTTCATGTGTTTCTTGCTTCCGCTCTCTCTTGCAGGATTGAGGTTCTTACGAGCCTTGAGGCTGATCCAGTTTTCAGAAATATTACAGTTTTTAAATATCTTAAAGACAAGGTAAGAATCCGTATGAACTCTTCTTGAAATAGTTCCTCGTAATTCTTCACCTGCATCATAAATTAAAAACTTTAATAAATCTAACATTATATCATCTTGTGTTTTCATGGTAATTTTAGTTACATTTTTAGAAATGTCATTATGTGATTGTCATTTTATTATTATTATTTTAAAGGTTTGATTTATTTTTATTTCAGTTTTAGTTTGTTTTTATTTATTTCCATTTAATAATTTCAGTCATTCAACTTAAACTTATTTCAATTTATTACCAAGACAACATTTCTAATTTTCGGTTCAAGTTTTTCCAACTAATTTTGATATTTGATTATATTTACGCTTTATTTCAATGAACAGAAATGTTTTTTAATAGTTTTTATTAATGATAATAACCTCGTAGATGGAGGATTTCTTCTCATTTCTTTTTTCTTGTGTCAAAACATGTCATTACAGAATTAAAAGTGTAAATGTTAAACTTTAATGTTAATGCAGTTTAGTCGTTATTATTATGTTTCATGTTTTGCGTTCTGCATTCATTGCATTTTGTTTTAGAGTTAAAGGAAGTGTCCGTGAACTTAACAGAAAATGTCCTGGAAGAAAATTACCACTATCTTCTGTTTTTTTTAAATTATATATATTGTATTATATTCTATTAGATATGTCATGTGTCCGCCTCCTGCGGGCTTAGATCTGAAGCTTTAGCACAGATGTCTAGGAGAGCTTATTGTGCATCAGAACGAGTAATCTCACTGCAGTTCATTCAAACAGAGGACACATCTACTGATCAGGGGTGTGTTTCCCAAGAGCATCGTTAGCCAACGGTCGCAAGTTCTGTCGTTATCATCAGTTCAACGAGTCGGTGTTTCCCGAAACCATCGTTCCAGCGAACATTCGCAAACAGCATCGCAGAGGTGTGTGTGTGTGAGAGCGACGGCTCTCGACCTGTGGTTAGAAGAAGAGTCTAGTTTGCATGACATGTGGACTCAATAAATCCTGATCTTGAGCAAAATAAGCAAACTGGCATTCAGTGCAACCTGTGTCTTTAATTTAGAACACATGCAAATGTGTTTTACGTCTTTGAGTTTGTCAAGAGATTTAAAGCACAGTTTTTGAAGAGTGTGTGTGCACGTGTGAACGAGCTCTAGTGTGTAAGAACGAGCCGATGAGTGAATCTGGAAATAAAGCAAAATAACTGACTGAGAAAAATTAGAAATATTCCTCAGATGCCATTATATCAAAACATCTCGCATTAATTCAATCTCAAGCAGTTTCATTAAAATAAGTTATAACTCCACCACCACGTGCGTGACATCATTAACCAGTGTGGTTGAACGACCACTTTATGACAACATGGTTTCGGGAAACAGTCGAGACTCGCTGGTCGATTTCCTCAACGATGCGTCGCACTATAGTAGTGAAGCACGAGTTATGCCAGTGTACGGGAAACACACTCCAGACTGGGACAAAACCATCCAAACTGATTTTTTTGCACTAAAATTAGCCAGTATTATACAAAGAGCTTCAGTTTATGGACACAGCAGAAATGTTTGAAAATGTTTGTGTTGTAATTTAAGGAAATTTTTCTATAAAAGTGTTCAGCCGGCTATTGCTCAGGAGTGTGTTTCCCGTACACTGGCGTAACTCGTGCTTCACTACTATAGTGCGACGCATCGTTGAAGAAATCGACCAGCGAGTCTCGACTGCTTCCCGAAACCATGTTGTCGCAAACTGGTCGTTCAACCACACTGGCTTATGATGTCACGCAGGTTATGGAGTAATAGGCCATGAGACGGGACCCCAAATTTGGGCTACCGGTACCATTTTGAGGGATTAAATTTCTTTTTGATTTTCATGAAGGTACACACTCTAGTGTTGGAAAATGTGTGATAGCATCCGATCCATGGTAGCTTTCATTAGAAATCAACACTTGTATCATCCTACCTCAAGGTAAGGTGTTCAGTGACTACAAGAGAGACAAATTTATCCTTTTATAATTTTAAAAATGTATTTAAAAAAATTATAATTTTTTTTATTATAAAAATTTATAAAATTTCATAAAATTTTATAAAATTTTTGTAAAATCAAAAATTTTATTTAAAGATAAATAAATTAATTTATCCTTTTTCTTGACATGTTTGAAAATCGTCCTTCGTAACCAAAAACTACCTTGAATCTAATGCTATCACACATTTGTCACACATTAACCCCTAAAAATGGTACCAATCAACCCTCTGTCTCACGGCCTATAATAACTTATTTTAATGAAACTGTTTGAGATCGAATTAATGAGAGATGTTTTGATATAATGACATCTGAGGAATATTTCAAATTTTTCTCAGTTATTTCGCTTTATTTTCAGATTTAATCATAGGCTCGTTCACACACACTCGAGCTCGTTCACACATGCGCAGTCTACAGAAACTGTGCTTTAAATCTCTTGACAAACTAAAGACGTAAATTACATTTGCATGTGTTCTAAATTAAAGACACAGGTTGCACTGAATGTCAGCTTGCTTATTTTGCTCAAGATCAGGATTTATTAAGTCCACATGTCATGCAATCTAGAAACTCTTCTTCTAACCACAGGTCGAGAGCCGTCGCTCACACACACACCTCTTGCAAATGTTCGCTGGAACGATGGTTTCGGGAAACACCGACTCGTTGAACTGATGATAACGACGGAACTTGCGACCGTTGGCTAACGATGCTTTCGGGAAACACACCCCTGATCAAACTCAAAATTACGTACAGTATACCGTGTGTACCAATCCATGTACTTTCACACTGTTATATGCCGTTCGTAGTATAATAGTGCGAGTTTTGTGTTCACACTGAAAATTACAAAAAGCAAAAGTGCACTTTAAATGTCCGGATGATGCACTTAATCAACCGAAAAAACAAAGTGTATCAGACTAAAATAGCCTCATAAAGTTGCACAGCGGAGTACATACAGTAGTGCATTAGTACATATAGTGTATAGTACACCATAGTATTGTAGACTCAAGTCATTTGTGAGATAATGAAAGTATTTCTGAAATTTGTTTTTATAGCAACTCCATAAAGTTGGTGAATTTGTGCTCAATCTTTATAAGCACATGGCTGACGGCAGCGGGGTTCATACATTTGGTAAGTCGATCGAATTTTCATGAATTTTAATGAATACTGTGCATTGAGGAACGTGTGTTGGGAAAGTTAATCGGATCAGTTTTGATGTCATGTTTAGACAGAACTGAATTAGATGTCCTTGCATGTTGGCTGAAATACTGAGGCTGTTGGTGTGTTTTCAGGTGGAAAACTCAGGAGATCCTTGGGAGAGTTTCCAAAATTCCCAACCTCTTACCTACTGGGAGTGTGTGTACCTGCTCATGGTAACCATGTCCACAGTGGGTTATGGAGATGTTTGTGCTAAAACAACCCTCGGCCGCCTTTTCATGGTCTTCTTCATTCTCGGAGGATTGGTAAAGACAACCTAAATAAATAGAAGAAATCCCATAATAACTCCAGTTATCAGGTCCTTAATCATTGTATCCTTGACAACCAGAGCTGGAAAACAATCCCTTCATTTATGCCTCATTCCCAGCTCCTGCTCGTCATGATGGAAAGATCTTCATGTGTTTTTTTGCTTGTACTGCATTGCGTGTTTTGGTTCTTAAGCAATACAGATTATTATCAAATGCTATTGTTTATTCTGTTGATTTCATGTTATAAGTGGAACCATCATTAGGGAGTACAAAGTTATTCTGTTTGTAGATTGACTGCGGTTTTAGAAGACCCGACCCAATTTACCCCCACCCAGACTCCAACAAACTCTAAGGGTTGAGATATGATATGGCACGCCGTCATGATGTCAACACACACGCTGTAAACTCAATAACACATAGAGAACTGCCTTGAGTCATGTATTGCTTTTATAAATATTTAAACATTAGTGCTCAGATCATTTCAATTTGCCCCATTTAAAAATGATCAAAAACGATTCAGTCGGTGGAACACAAAATAGATAATTCACTGCTTGTTTGAAAGAAAAAAATATATATATTGCCATAATGATTTTTTCCTATAAATATAAATATTAAAATATCACTTTAATATCAATTATTAATGATAAAAAATGATTCAGTCAGTGGAATACAAAATAGATAATTCACTGCTTGTTTGAAAGTAAAAAAAAAAAAAAAACGTATTGCCATAATTATTTTTTCCTATTAATATGAATATTAAAATATCACATTAATATCAATTATTAATATTAATAGTTTTTCAAAGTTTATAAAAACAAATAGATATATTTTGCTATTAACTGTTGTATTTACTGTAATGCTTTTGTATTTTCTACATAAAACAACATTAAGTACACAACTGAAAGTTTTAAGACCACTGTCTTTTTTTTATATAAATAACTTAATAAAATATTAATCTTAAAATATAACTTTGATATTAACTCTTCATATTAAATAAATATAAAATTATAAATGTATTCAATATAATTGTGTTCCTTTTATATGAATAAAATTAATTATATGTACTGTTTAGTAAAACAATCATAAAGTTGCTGTTGCTAGTACTCTATTCATATTGATATTACATTTTTTTTATTATAACTATAAATAATATTATTTTATATAAAATAATATGTAAATATAAAAAAGTGATTATATAAATTGTATATTAATAAAAGTATCTATACTATTTTGTAAATATATAAAATTAACATACATTTTTAATAATAATTGTTCATAAATTTGACAAAAAAAAAGTGTGTAAAGCTAGATTTGGCTGTTAACTGTAGTGTGATGCTTGAGATCTGACAGTCGTGTCCACATCAGTCCAGCGTGAGAGTTTGCTTGGACTAAACATGGCTCTTGAGGTTTCCTCCTTCATCACTGTTTTCCCTCTTAAAACGGCAGATCGAATCTTATCTGTGGCTTTTTTCTTTTTTTTTTAACACCGATATCCCTTAAAAACAGGGATATTTGCCAAACAGAATGCTTTTACTTTTAACCTAAAGCCTCCCATCCTTTAATTCTCGGCAATGCATGTATACAAGCATTCTGGCCCTCTAACTGTTATTCAATCTGTCTGGAGTTTTAAAGTTACAGCTCCAATATTTGACACTTAAAGGGAAAGTTCATGCAAAAGTTATAACTCTATTATCGTTTACTCACCCACATTCCATACAATGAAAGTGAAGTAACTAAAGTAACAGTCTATATGACTTGCTCACAAAAATACGTTCTAATAACGTTTTGCTAATTTTCCCATTAAGTTATGAAATCATTATTTCTGAACGTTTTACAAAATGTTTTTTCTTGGTTATTCGAACGTAAAGGAAACATTCCATTTTATCATTCTTCAAACATTACAATAATGTTACTTTTGAATGAACATTCCGAAAAAAGTAGCAACATTTAAAAAAAAATGTTAGACAAGCGTCCAATTAAAACATTTCAGAGGGGAAGGGAGGGGAGGGGGGATACTGCATGAATGTTTAATAAATAACTTGTTTGTGCTAATGTTTTGAGAACTTTTTCAAAGACCAGATAACTTTGAATGAACGTTTTTTTTAAAGTCCCCCTGTAGTCAATAATTGTATCCCTTAAAACTCATCTTTGATCACCAAAAGGACATATTTAAATTTGATATCTTGAATGTAACTCGACACCCTTGCCTCATTTAGTATGCGCGGTTCTATGAATATGCAAATGAGCCCCGCCTCCACTCACTCACTCAGCTCAGAGATCCACTGGTTGACGATCACATGTTGATCTGATTGGTTACAAGGTCGTTTGTGACGTTAGAAACACCAGCGATTTCAAACCGTGTTTTTGAGACTGTCTTTGGTTCACTGCAGTTTTAAGCAGAAAATACTCTGCAATGCTGTCGACTTATGAACTTACACATGGTGTGTCTTAAAGCAGATTAAAAACACCACATAGGCACATAAACAACATTTAAAAGATTTCCACCACAGGGGGACTTTAATGTTACTGGAAGAACGTTTATTAATAACATTAGCTTTGAGAACATTAGCTGTTAGCTCGGAAGCAATCGCTTTTTTGTCATTTTAAAGCTTTAGCGCCATTATATTTCATTATATGGCGATGAGATGCTTTATAGATGCACCTTTTGTCACGGAATAAAGAAAGTCGCATGGGTTTGGACTGACACGAGGGCGAGTACACAATGATTTTCGCCTGAACTATCCCTTTAAGCCTCTTATTTCTGATATGAGAACTCTCTTCTACTGAAAGTAGAAGCATTAGCAGACTTCTCTTGTCCTTTGTCTCCTGTCTCCTCCTCCAGGCCATGTTTGCCAGCTACGTTCCTGAAATCATAGAGTTAATAGGAAACCGCAAGAAATATGGTGGTTCCTATAGTGCAGTAAATGGGAGAAAGTAAGTACCGGTGGTTGGACTGCGCTGGTTCAGTTCAGTCTGCCGTCTGCATGCCCGTCTCTCTCTCTGTCCCATGCATGTAGGCAATGTTTGCTCGCTACGTGCCTGAAATCGCTGCTCTCATCCTTAATCGGAAGAAATATGGAGGGAGTTATAACTCGACCCGAGGAAGAAAGTAAGTCAAAGGATTAAAGGGGTGGTATAAATCTCTGATGTCCCCAGAGTGTGTGTGTGAAGTTTTAGCTCAAAATACCCCACTGATATTTTTATAGAGCATGTTAAAATTGTCACTTTTTGAGTGTGAGCAAAAACGCACGTTTTTTGTGTCCGTCCCTTTAAATGCAAATGAGCTGCTGCTCCCGGCACAGGGGGCGGAGCTTCAAGAGCTCTTGTGTGTGTGTGTGTGTGTGTGTGTGTGTGTGTGTGTGTGTGTGTGTGTGTGTGTGTGTGTGTGTGTGTGTGTGTGTTTGTGTGTGTGTGTGTGTGGGTGTGTGTGTGTGTGTGTGTTTGTGTGTGTGTGTGTGTGGGTGTGTGTTTGTGTGTGTGTGTGTGTGTGTGTGTGTGTGTGTGTGTGTGTGTGTGTGTGTGTGTGTGTGTGTGTGTGTGTGTGTGTGTGTGTGTGTGTGTGTTGTGTGTGTGTGTGTGTGTGTGTGTGTGTGTGTGTGTGTGTGTGTGTGTGTGTGTGTGTGTGTGTGTGTGTGTTAGCAGCTACGATTACTTCACACAAATATGCACACAGAATTTCAAAAACTTTTAGCCTTTTATGTTCAAACCCGAGTCAGACAAAGATGGAGAGACTCAAGAAGAAGTGACAACATGTACACAACATTTCTGAATGGTTAGTTGATGAATTTATGAAGCTTATGTGTAGTTATCTTCTAGTCATTGATTAGCATATTCTGTCATGATAATCTATAAATCGTGTTCCTGGGGGCGGGGTTTATGTAAATTTTAGGGTTAGTGATGTCACTAACCCGGGAGGAAGCTGGTGTAGTTCTACCAGCCGTTTGTTGTAGTCCTTAAAAAGCAATTTCTTTAAAAGCAAATATCTCCCTTTGCTTTGAACTTTGAGCGTCGTAACTTTGCAGATGTTGTGTATGCTCAAACAGCAACACACTAACACAGTTAGAAAAGTGAAATCATGATCAACCACCCCTTTAAAGCCGACGAACTCCAACTCTTACCTCAGAGGAAGTTGTTGTAGTCCATCCTGTGATGTCAGAGGTGCTCCTCCACAGGAAGTAGTATTATGACATAGTCACTGAGGGTCTGGGGTCAAAAGGCACAAATCATCTCATCGCTTGTGGCGTGTGTGAGTCGCTCATCGCTTGCTGGTGTGTGTGCTACTTGTGACACTCGGGCTTGTACGTCTCTTATAGCATAGCAGTATTTGGTCTCTTCTGTTCGTCTGTGTTTCATGAATCCAGAACTTTTAAACTGCAGGTTTGCTTTGGAGATTCAAAGCAAACAGATTTGCCTTTATATACAGACTACTGTTAAAAAGGGACAAGAAAGAAAGTAACACTTTTATTCAGCAAGGACGCATTAAATTGATCAGAAGTATAATGAATTTATAATGAAGCAAAAATTTCTGTTTCTTTTCATTAAAGGATCCTGAAAAAATAAATGTATCACAGTTTCCTCAACAATATGAAGCAGCACAGCTGTTTTCAACAGTGATAATAATCAGAAATAAATCCTCATATTAGAGTGATTTCTGAAGGATCATGTGACACTGAAGACTGGAGTAATGATGCTGAAAATTCAGCTTTGATCACAGGAATAAATTACACTTTACTATATATTCACATAGAAAACAGCTGATTTAAATTGTAATAATATTTCTCAATTTTACTGATTTTACTGTATTTTTGATCAAATAAATGCAGCCTTGGTGAGCAGAAGAGACTTCTTAAATATTAAAAACTCTCACCGACCTCAAACTTTTGCACAGTAGTGTGTGTGTACTGTATATATTCTCAGTTAATAAGTAAGGGATAATGTCACCAGCATGTGCCTTATATCTATTAAAAATCTGTTCTAGTTTAGCTTTTTTAATAAATTATAATTAAATCAATTATGGTGGGGTTTCTCCATTGGATTCTAGATAATCATAATAATAAGCCATTTTACAAGGTGTCACAATTATGCACATATTTCACAATATATGTACAATCACACCTGGTGTGTGTGTGTGTGTGTGTTAATTTAATGCCATCCAAACAGCATACAGATTATATAATATGTATAGATGTATATGTATATATTGCTTGAATTGAGATTTGATTGTCATTAACCATTTTGATTGCTTAACCTTTTCAGCCCGTCAATGACGACTCTAATTCTTGCTTGTTAAATGTCTCAGATGCGTTTGGCTTTAAATTTCTCATGATATTAAGACTGGAGTGTTTAGATTTTAGTTCATAGTGTATATTTGCTTTGTGCTCATCTATTTATTGCTATTTGCTTTACACTATAAACATTTAGAAAATATAAGCATTTAAAATGCAAAGGCTTTCTCCTTTTGAGAAGCGATTTTGTTATTGTTGTTTTTCAGGGTTAATTAATTTTACATGATGGCAGTCTAATTTTCTCTCATTTTAAGGTTAATATTGTGTTAAACCTGTGATAGCAGAGACATGGCTCCATGTGGCCTGGGCTTGTTTTCTTGCTAATCGCGTGTAGTTCCTGTAACGTCTTGTTTAAACTCTTCCTCATGATAACTCAGGCATATCGTCGTCTGCGGTCACATCACACTGGAGAGCGTCTCCAACTTCCTGAAAGACTTCCTACACAAGGACAGGGATGATGTCAATGTAGAAATAGTTTTTCTCCATAAGTAAGTATAACAGTGCAACTGAATGGAGTAGTTCACTGCAAAAATGCTTTTCTTGCTCAATATTTTTGTCTTGTTTCCAGTCCAAATATATAAAAATTCTTAAATCAAGATGCATTTACTAAAGTTGTAAAATGACATAAGACTTTAAGTCTTGTTTTCTGGGGAAATTAATCAAAAATATAGCTGCGAGCAGCGATTACGGGCCCAAGCCGGTGGCACCGCAACCCCGGTTCCTTTAGTTACCTAAAGGCACCGGGGTGGCGGTGCCGCCGGCTTTGGCCCTTCATCGCTGCTCGCAGCTATATTTATATATATATATATATATATATATATATATATATATATATATATATATATATATATATATATATATATATAAATTATATATATATATAAAAAAAAATATATATATATATATATATATATATATATATATCACTTGCCTTACCGGATTAGAACAATGAAAACAATAAAAAAATAACTAGGGAATCACTAAACCGAGAGAATTAATCTGTTTTGATGATACACTCAAAATATTACACAAGCAATTCTTTAAATTTAATGATATTCAGAACAGAACAAGAATAAAAAAAAACTATAATTAAGAAATAACCGAAATAATTGAAAGCGAAAGTGAAAGTAGGTGGTGTTTGGCTCACGTAACTCTCTCATTAGAATCAAACTGTTTCAACATTTGCGATGTATTTGGATGCTAAACTATTCTTCATTATGGGCTTTGTACTTCACTCAGGTTTCAATATGTGTGTGTGTGTGTGTGTGTGTGTGTGTGTCTGTGTGTCTGTGTGTCTGTGTGTGTGTGTGGGTGAGGTGCGGGTGCGGGTGCGGGTGCGATTGAACTGTTACACATAAAAACATACTCCGTCATTTTGTTCATAGAGGACATCATTCAAACTGCAAAGTGTTTACTTATATTTGTGTACACTCGCAATAAAACACAACAAAGTGCTTTTGTCAAACTATAAACTCTTGTCAAACTGTAACCTACAACTGTCACCCAACTAAAATCACACGCACACACTGTCTAAAAGCAAAAAATATTTATCCAACCCCATTTAAAACAGTCTGTGGGAGCCATCTTTTGGACATTCACCATATCGCATTGATTTTCATTTATTGTCCTCAGAGCCCTAATCTGTTTATTTTTCAATTACACATTCTACATTGATTAAAAAAGAAAATTCTAATGTGTTTTTATTTTATACAGGAATAAGTTATTTATAATTCAGATGAGAATAAAGTTAGTGTTAGTTCAAATTTTAAGGAAAACAAATATATTGATCTGAAATATAGCACATTCATCTCAGGTTAAATTACCAAACATACAATCTTAATTTAATTTAAAGCAAACGATACATTTAAAATATATGGGTTGTATGCATATTTTGGAATTTAAAAAAAAGATATATATCCAAAAAGACAAGGCCTTAAACTTGAACAAGGGTTAAACTCTTGTCGCTGTAAGAGACACAATGATTCAGCATTTTGAACGAATCGATTGACTCAAAGATTCAATGACCAATCCATAAACATGTATTGTCTCATTCATGAATGACTCAGTCGTTCGAACGAATCATTTGAACGAATGAATCAATGACTCACTCATTAAGACGGTCGCCTGGCGACACCTAATGACGGTTATTATTCTAAATAATTGAATTTATTGATCAAATTTACAAATTAAAAATGAAAGATGAAGCATACATTTAATAAGACTAGACTAGGGGTGCCCAGCAGATATTACAATATGCAGATTTAAATATACCATGGCCCCCCACCGTCAATTTGGTGTGTGTATAATAAAATCATTTAGTCACTACAATTAAAACTTGAACGTATTTGCTTACTAAATTGTGAGCAGAACGAAAGTTGCAGCAAAGATCAGCAACAGGAGTCAAAATTCATTAATCACGAGAGTGAAGAGCTGACTGGAAAAATTATGACGGAATATTTTGTGTAAAAGCGCCTATATAAGCGAATCTGTCATTTACTCTTTTGTTGTTGTCTTTTCCCTGAAAACCGGAAGCAATCGGTCCCCGATATGGCGCTAATTTTCAAGTGACACTAAAAAGTATGCGGCTGCACTGGAATTCATAACGGTGCGCGTCCATGGCGACGAGCGAGCAAAACAGAGCGAATGTTTTTTCATTTCTACTTCCATAGAAATTCATTCGAGCGCACTGTGAGCGCCACCACTATAAATGTCCGTGCGGACGTCCTTACTTTACTTTCACTTTTAACTTAGCGATTTAACACGTTTTACACGTCAAATAACCGGTGAGAAAATATTCTCGGAGTCACATAGGCTACCTAATATATTTAAATACAATAGGCCTACCTGATTTTGAACACAAGAGGGCAGTATAGCCCTATGTATTATTTGATATATTTATTTTTTTAACTGAATAGTGCATCCTGGCTGTTTTTAAACTTGTACATTACTCTTAAATTGAAAACAAGAATAAAATGGGTTTAGTTGTGATATTTGTATAATTTTATCTAGAAATAAATGGTGTATAATTAAATTTTTAGAAGATATGAGGCTTTTAGTGTTTATTTTTTTTTTTACATGATTTTAATCCCTCGCCATAGCAAAACAATTAGAGATATTCAATAGATATTCACAATTATGCTTCTTTAATGTATTTTCATCATGTTGAAAAAGTTTGGTGGGAATAAAATAAACCACTTAAGAGGAGTGGGTAAAAATGTAGAGCCTGGTTTTGCAAAACATCCACATTAAGACAAAAATAGCCCACTTCCTGTTGGGCTGGCTTAAAGTTGTTTGGCCCGATGAGATCTATATACCGAGTTTCATAATATTACATGCAAGTGTGTTTGATTTATGGACCAAATTTTCTGACGAAGTTTATGGACCAAGTTAATTTAATTAATAAACTAATTATATAAAACTATTTTCAATGCACTACAATTCAACTGGTTATATGCCTTTACTTATTAATACAACTTATTTAAAAAATACAAGGCGTAAGACATTTATTTTCTTTTTTAATGCAGGCCAAACAACACAGCAGTCAAATGGTTAATCTAGCCCCCCTCCCCCTCCCCACACTCACAGACACACACACACACAGAGACGTAGGCTCAGAGAGAGAGAGAGACATAAAATGACAATTTTCAAACCAAAATATCTGACTTCCTGTTGGTTGGAGCTATTGAGTGTAAATTAGAAACTTGTCTGGCTGGAGGAGAACAATACACATACCGATTTTTATTACTGTAGATAAAATTAATCCCCCCACTTTTGACAAAAGGTGGCGCTACTGAGCCCTCAACACGCCCGTTTCTGAAACTTTGCACATGTCTACTGGCTAATAAATGAGATGTGTCTGTCGAGTTTCATGCAATTTTAAGCAATTTCAGGCATGCTAAGAGTCTCAAAAGCATAAAAAAAGAATATTAAAGTTTGATGCGTTGCCACGACAACAGTATCTAAGATATCAAGAATCCATTCACAGGTCTACATCTGCCGTGTGTTTACATTATAGTAGTGAAGTTTGAAGCAAATCGGGTAAAAATAAGAGGGTGATTTCAAAGCATTTAGGAAGTGACACACTTCCTTCTGCCAGTTGGTGGCGCTATAACTTTGACTCACAATAGTCACATCCATGTGATCGGGCTCTTACAGCGAACACACTGGTGAAGTTTCATCAAGATCAGTTAATGTATGCAGTAGTTATGACACACTTCCTGTTTCACGTTTCTCGCCATAATTTTGTTTCCTCGCCACGGCCAAACCGTTCGAGATATCAAAAATCCCCTCGCAAACTTTCATCCTCAATGTCTTGACTTCATGCTGACCGAGTTTCGTGCCGTTTGTTTGAATTCTCTAGGAGGAGTATTTCACATTCCATTGCGTGTGTTTTACCAACAACCCTAAATAGCCGACTTCCTGTTGGGCTGGGGTAAAAAGTAAGAGTGTGAAGTATATATGAAACGAGGAGATCTACATGTGTACCGAGTTTCATATTATTACATGCAAGCGTGTTTGATTTATGGACCATGTTTTCGGACCCCGTTCCAGGGGGCGCTGTCGAGCCCCCCTGCCACGCCCGGGTACCATCTTCAGCCCGGCCCTGATGGCCGCGGGTTCTGACCAGTGTGCAAAGTTTCAGGAGTTTTTGAGCATGTTAAGGCCTCCAAAAGTGTCCAAAAGGTAGCAGAAAAATAATAAGAATAATAATAATAATAAATAATCCTAAGGAAAACAATAGGGCCTTCGCCCTTTGGGCTTGGGCCCTAATAAAGTGAGTTTTTGCTTTAAACAAGCAAAATTATCTGTCAATGGGGTCAGAAAAATAATGTTTCTGTTTAAATTAAGATTATTTTTCTGACCCCATTGTCAGATAATTTTGCTTGTTTTAAGCATCAACTCACTTAATTTTGAATAATTCCCCCGGAAAACAGGACATAATATCTTGATTTAAGAAATGTTTGATATCTGGACTGGAAACAAGACAAAAATACTCAGTAAGAAAAGCAGTGTTCACCTAAAGAAGTATAGCTCTCTTTTGTGGGCCGTATGTGTTCGCCTCACCGTGCTGTTGTGTGTGTGTGTGTGTGTGTGTGTGTGTTTGCAGTATTTCCCCTAATCTTGAGCTGGAAGCCTTATTCAAGAGACACTTCACACAAGTGGAGTTTTACCAGGGATCTGTTCTCAACCCTCATGATCTCGCTCGAGTGAAGGTACGGGATCTGTCCTGCTTTGGCAAACGCAGGGTTTTCATAGTCAGAGAGAGTCTTAAGTTTTAAAATTGGGTTACACTTTATTTCGATACTAACTACAAGTAACTGCATCTACATGTCAACTAGCAGGAGTATTAATAGACTGATTATTAATATCTGCTAACACTTTATTTTGATGCTCCCCAAAATAGATTGATTTTGCATGTCAACTTATTATTATTAGGGACGCACTATATATCGGCCACCATATCGGTATAGGCCGTATATGTTTATTTTTAATGTTATTTTGGCCGATTTATTAAAGCCAATAAATAATGGATTATTTCCTTCAGCTGACACACTTCAAATACATGATGGTACAATTCAACATGATGGTTTTGAATTGCTTGATATGATTGAAATCACTTTGAATAGGAAAATACAGTTCAATGCAACATGCAGCAAGTCTGTCTACATAAAAGTTATAATGAGAACATCATTATAATTGTGTGATTGGGACATGAGACTTGTTTTTGCAATCAAAAATTATATAAAAAATTTGGATGTAGATTTATCGGCCAATATATCGGTTATCAAATATAAAAAATTATCGGTTATGAGTATCAACCAAAAAATCTACGAATGCATTTTTTAAAATCATTTTCACTAAAGTTTCATGACTCCCAGATGATTTTGTTGTATGAATATTTATAAATGCATGGACTTGTCTATGGTGAAATTCCTTGAAATTCGTCTGATTTGAATGATTTAATGATTTTTAACACAAACAACCCTGCAAACAGCAATTCTTTCGACCCATTTATTTCCATCCTTTAAAGTTTATTCACTTTTTTAACCTGTTTTCTTATAGATTGAGTCGGCCGATGCCTGTCTGATCTTAGCCAATAAATACTGTGCAGATCCTGATGCAGAAGATGCATCCAACATCATGAGGTGCGCAGTGTATTTAAACCTCCTTAATGATTATTGCATTCATCTCAAAAATCAACAACTTTTGATGGATTTCAGAAGGTTCTTGATTTGAAATGTGATGTTTTTTCTAGGGTGATATCCATTAAAAACTACCATCCAAAGATCCGCATTATTACACAGATGCTGCAGTACCACAATAAGGTGAGAGTTTCTCTTTCTGCCTGGAAACAACTGGTTTTACACACACACACACACACACACACACACACTCCTTCACATTTGATGTCACTAACACCCAACACTTTAGACTACACATTTGGTTCACATTGTAATTCCCAGATAAACTCCTAAAGAGTAACAATCCATATTTTGTACTATACATGTTCTTTTCTGTATGGCACTTTTAATGTTATTCGTAATATTTAGTTTCTTGTATCATTTCACACACTTTGAAAAAAAGGGTTAACTGTTAAGGTTAACTCTAGGGTTCTTGACTCAATTTTAAAGAACACTTTATGCCAAAAAGTTTCTATATAAGGAGGATTGTCTTAAATGATCACATAATACTTTCATGTTTAACAGGTTATTTCAACTTTTTTTCTACTGATAAAGTATGTTTATGGGCAATTTAAGTCATAAAATTGAATTAAAATTAAAACTTGATGAATGAATTAAAACTAAATACATGACAGAACCCTTAAAAGGTCCTGTATATGAAGTGCCTGATTGAATCCTTTAAAAAATGTAATTAAACTTAAACATGCTGTTGCTACTGAAACTAGGAATCACTTTAATGCTTAATGCTTAATGCTTTCTATTAATGTTCGATATGGACTGAGAAGGGAGGTTTGGGTTGTCCGTTTTTAACTATGTAATGTACACTCACCTAAAGGATTATTAGGAACACCATACTAATACTGTGTTTGACCCCCTTTCGCCTTCAGAACTGCCTTAATTCTACGTGGCATTGATTCAACAAGGTGCTGAAAGCATTCTTTAGAAATGTTGGCCCATATTGATAGGATAGCATCTTGCAGTTGATGGAGATTTGTGGGATGCACATCCAGGGCACGAAGCTCCCGTTCCACCACATCCCAAAGATGCTCTATTGGGTTGAGATCTGGTGACTGTGGGGGCCATTTTAGTACAGTGAACTCACTGTCATGTTCAAGAAACCAATTTGAAATGATTCGAGCTTTGTGACATGGAAGTAGCCATCAGAGGATGGGTACATGGTGGCCATAAAGGGATGGACATGGTCAGAAACAATGCTCAGGTAGGCCGTGGCATTTAAACGATGCCCAATTGGCACTAAGGGCCCTAAAGTGTGCCAAGAAAACATCCCCCACACCATTACACCACCACCACCAGCCTGCACAGTGGTAACAAGGCATGATGGTTCCATGTTCTCATTCTGTTTACGCCAAATTCTGACTCTACCATCTGAATGTCTCAACAGAAATTGAGACTCATCAGACCAGGCAACATTTTTCCAGTCTTCAACTGTCCAATTTTGGTGAGCTCTTGCAAATTGTAGCCTCTTTTTCCTATTTGTAGTGGAGATGAGTGGTACCTGGTGGGGTCTTCTGCTGTTGTAGCCCATCCGCCTCAAGGTTGTGTGTGTTGTGGCTTCACAAATGCTTTGCTGCATACCTCGGTTGTAACGAGTGGTTATTTCAGTCAAAGTTGCTCTTCTATCAGCTTGAATCAGTCGGCCCATTCTCCTCTGACCTCTAGCATCAACAAGGCATTTTCGCCCACAGGACTGCCGCATACTGGATGTTTTTCCCTTTTCACACCATTCTTTGTAAACCCTAGAAATGGTTGTGCGTGAAAATCCCAGTAACTGAGCAGATTGTGAAATACTCAGACCGGCCCGTCTGGCACCAACAACCATGCCACGCTCAAAATTGCTTAAATCACCTTTCTTTCCCATTCTGACATTCAGTTTGGAGTTCAGGAGATTGTCTTGACCAGGACCACACCCCTAAATGCATCGAAGCAACTGCCATGTGATTGGTTGATTAGATAATTGCATTAATGAGAAATTGAACAGGTGTTCCTAATAATCATTTAGGTGAGTGTAGTGTGACAAAGTCTTATTCAGGGCTAATTTTTGATGAAATAAGCCCTTTAAAGAGGATATATTAACTCGTGATTTTGACTCTACTAGAACAGGTTTTCCTGCTTGAATGTTGATTATTCTCCTCATATTCTCCATTGTTGCGGCTCCTCTCTTCCCAGTCTGTCAGTAACGCTCTGTTTCCTTCCTGTCTCTATGAAGCCCCTCCTTCTGAAAAGCACACTGTGCTCTGATTGGTCGGCTGGAGCAGTGTGCTCTGATTGGTCGAGCGCTTCGAGTGTGTTTGGGAAATGTCCCGCCCCTTCCCATAAACGCCAGTTTAACACACTACTAACTAACTCAACCAGGCCCCGCCCCTTTATTCTGCGTATGAATTATTATAATGAGGAATATTGTGACGTGTTCGTGACTCAAGACTACAATGGAGGCGTTTCAGGAGTTCAGAAACACTGACACTGATATAGAGAAGAACTCCCGCTGGAGGGACTTTGCTCAAACGGCAACATTATGTTACTTATGTTTCTGTCCTTGTGGTTTCCAGGCTCATCTTCTCAACATCCCGAGCTGGAACTGGAAGGAAGGTGATGACGCGATCTGCCTCGCCGAGCTGAAGCTGGGCTTCATCGCCCAGAGCTGCCTGGCACAGGGTCTGTCCACCATGCTGGCCAACCTCTTCTCCATGAGGTCCTACATCAAGGTCAGTCCACGTGTGGCCCGTCAGAACCATGTCAGCTTTTACATACTGAGTATCAAACTCTCTACTTTCTCCTGCGTAGATTGAAGAAGACACATGGCAGAAGTATTATCTCGAGGGAGTAGCCAATGAAATGTACACGGAGTATCTGTCCAGTGCCTTCGTGGGTTTATCCTTCCCCACGGTCTGTGAGTAAGTATGATGTGTGCGGTTATGAAAACCAATTATTTTAATAGTAAAGTCATAAAAACTATACAGATGGAAGTATGATCTAGTGAAATATAAACTGTTATATTTGAGGTTCTTTAACCTGTTAAGTGTCACCCCCCTTTTTTTGAATATACATGAAAATGCACATTTCGAACTTAAGTGGTTGTAATTCAAGAGTGCTTTGGAATATAGACGTAAGATAAAGGTCTCGTTTTAAAGAAGACATTTGGCAGATTTTTGTAGAAGTGAAATAAATTAAGAAAGTGAAACAGAAAAAAAGTTATAGAAGTTTGAGTTTATGAAAATTTACAATGTAAAACAAATTAAATATTCATATTTTATATAAAATTTATATTTTTAAAACCTGGGCGACTCTAAAACTGCAAAAAAAATCAAAGTTGTGTGTTTCAAATTTTAGGTTGATATCTCAAAAAATGAGCTTTCAGTGAGAGTGTGTTTGGGCGCAGTACCGAACGCTTCCACTAGGGCACAACCAGACTCCATTACTGCCCATATTAGGGCGCCGCCAATTCCATATGTGTTTTGAGTGATATGAACCATTATTTCCACAATTTTCTTACAATTTATGAAGTAGACATCCTATTCAGAAGTAATATGAGAAGTTTGGCAGATTTTGATATGAATTCAACCTCTAAGAAACACATAAAAAGAGCAAGTATGTGCGTTATAGCTCGCCGCCACATCACAAATGGTGAATCTATCATTTATTGTCTTTATATTTAAAGAAATTTCAGACCCTTTTTTCTAAAATAATTGAATGGATGCTATCTTTTGAACTCTTGGCATGAAAACAAACTGAGGTTTCTACCCTTCTTTCATGATTTTTCATGTTCATCACTATTTCAAAATAAAAGTCTGAACACGCCTTAGGAGTATGAAAATATTCTTGTTGCAAATTGATAAATTACGGCTCCTCTGTAATTTACGGCTCAATCAATCACCAAATATGGAAACTAGAGATTGTACGCTTTCAATTGATATATAGTTTTTCAAGATTAGTTTAGGTTTAGTATAGGATATTACCGTTTTAAAAATGTAATGGATTTGGGCCCACCGGTGACACTTAAGAGGTACAACCATTCAATCATTTTTTCAATTAAGCAGAAGCCTTTCTTTCTGCATACTTCGGCTGTAAAGTTTCTGGTTTGGTTTGAAGGAGATGAATATAAATGAGATAAGGAAACAAATGTCCAGTCCCCGTTGCTTGTCTTTTACGTGTCATTTATTTTTAATGTGCCTTTTATTTCTCTGCAGACTGTGCTATGTGAAGCTGAAACTCCTGCTGATCGCGATCGAGTATAAATCAGACCAGAGAGAGAGCAGGTCGGTCTGAGCTTCATTAAAAACGTTCATAATCCTAAAAGATCCAGTGTACTGACAGTAGAGCTGCACGATTAATCTGTAAAAGATCTCGATCTCGATGCAAACACCCTTTCATAATGACAACGACTCGCCTGTGTCTATAAAACCTTAGTTATCATGTACAGTATGGGTATGAAACGGCTTCACAAACAGTTTTTTCAACCACACAGTTTTGTCATTTCTGTGTGGCACATATTCATATTATGCTGGGATAAAATTGTATAGTTGGGATATAAACACTGATGTGGAAATAGAGCAAATCCCCTTTTGAAAGTAACTTGGCCTTTCAAATAACTATTGAAACGATTACATCGTTACACCACCAGGAGGCGACACGTGACTGGTTAAAATAGTTTTTTGCCATTGAATGATTCATTCCAGACATTCGTTCAAAAATATTGATTAATCCAGTAATGAAACAAGTGAAGTATTTTTGAGGGAGTCATTGAATCATTCATTGAAATTTTGGTAACACTTTATAATAACTGCACGTGCACGCTATTAATCATTAGTTAAGCATTAGTAAACAGTTAATTCATAATTTATAAAGCATTAACAGACATTAATAAGCAGTTTATAAATACAGCTATAAATGCTTTATTCTTGATTTAGAAGCATATCTATAATGTGTTTAATGAAGTATGAAAATACAATTATTAATGATCAATTTATTATTTTTAAATGAAGTATAGCATTATTTACAAATCAGTTATTTAGGAGTTGTCAGTGGTTCATAAGATCACTTAGAAAGTGTGAGTAAATGATTAATAAACTATTTAAATGTACATACATCTTATTATTCAGACATATAGTGATAGTTACTTAGTGAGTTAATAAATGCATTACTAACATGTATTTCTACTGTAATTCAGGGTTAATTCAGGTAGTTATAAAGCATTTAGTAGTGGTCAGTTAACTGTTTTTGTGAGCTCATCTAAAGTGAGGACTAGTAAAGCATTTATATAGGAGATTTAAAGGCTCATTTATCTTCTAAACAGAAAAAGGAAACAAACACAACACAGTGACACAGAACATAAAAATATTTAAATCTCCTATATAAATGCTTTACTAGTCCTCACTTTAAATGAGCTCACAAAAATAGTTAACTGACCACTACTAAATGCTTTATAACTACCTGAATTAACCCTGAATTACAGTAGAAATACATGTTAATAAAGCATTTATTAACTCACTAAGTAACTATCACTATATGTCTGAATAATAAGATGTATGAATGTACATTTAAATAGTTTATTAATCATTTACTCACACTTTCTAAGTAATCTTATGAACCACTGACAACTCCTAAATAACTGGTTTGTAAATAATACTATATACTTCATTTAGAAATGATAAATTGATCATTAATAAAGTATGAAAATACAATTATTAAACACATTATAGATATGCTTTTAAAACAAGAATAAAGCATTTAGAGCTGTATTTATAAACTACTGATTAATGTCTATTAATGCTTTATAAATTATGAATTAACTGTTTACTAATGCTTAAATAATGATTAATAGCGTGCAGTTATTATAAAGTGTTACCGAAATATATTTCGATTAAATCAAACATTTTACAGCAATTAACATTTTGTCAGAACATTTAGTAAATTACATGTTATTTTGTTTAGTTGTCTGTTTAGAATCGGCATCTCTGTTTGAGAAAAAAAAAAAAAAACATGATTCTCAATATATCCAGAATTGTGCAGCTCTATATATATTTCTTTAAAGCGACATTAAAAAAATGTTAGCGTATTGTTGAAGATTAGCGTGTGGTTTAGGAGAACGCATCTGTAGTTCAGTCTTCATCCTGCATTTAGTGGCTTGTCTCACTTTGCTGCTGTTTGTGTGTTTGTTTCACACAGGGGTGGAAAATGGTATGAAATGATAAGGTTTCGTTTGGTGTGGTCACGTCATGCCAAATCCTCTTGAAAATGTACTCGTCGTATATCCCTGAAACGTTTGCGCTGGGTTATAACGTTAAGTTGAGGCAGAACTGCATATGTGTAGATTTTCAAGGGATACGTTCAGTTTCTGTACTTCTGGTCGAGCTGTGTGTGTGTGTGTGTGTGTGTGATAACTGTAATGTACAGTATCTGCCACTGCCCTTCTCAACGTGTTTAATGCTTTTACTGTGAACAAATTGTTTATTTCATGTAGTGTCACACTTATGCATTTAAACATGCTAAATGTTTAATGGAGAACTCCGGCGCAAAATGAACCTTTGGTCTAATAAAACATTGGTACCTAGTCAACCGTTCTCTGAGATTTGTTTTCATGATAATCGAATGTAAAGAGTTTTATCTCTAAAAACTGTTTAGCGTATAACGCTAGTAATGGGGGCATTTAATAAGTAAAAAGAAATCGCTAGTTTATACCACTAACAAGACTCAAAATAGCTCCACACGAACACAGTAACATAATGAGGGTCCCTACATGCAAAACGAAGCATTGAGAACTTTGTAAGTGTACAGACCGTTTAATAAGAAGATAAAGATAAAGACAGTCCACTTCGTGTATACAGACAGGAGCCATCTTTAGAAAACAGTCTCGACTAATCAAACCACGAACGCCATTCATACAGTTCAGCTCACTTAGCACGGCGTTCGTGGTTTGATTAGTCGAGACTGTTTTCTAAAGATGGCTCCTGTCTGTATACACGAAGTGGACCGTCTTTATCTTTATCTTCTTATTAAACGGTCTGTACACTTACAAAGTTCTCAATGCTTCGTTTTGCATGTAGGGACCCTCATTATGTTACTGTGTTCGTGTGGAGCTATTTTGAGTCTTGTTAGTGGTATAAACTAGCGATTTCTTTTTACTTATTAAATGCCCCCATTACTAGCGTTATACGCTAAACAGTTTTTAGAGATAAAACTCTTTACATTCGATTATCATGAAAACAAATCTCAGAGAACGGTCGACTAGGTACCAATGTTTTATTAGACCAAAGGTTCATTTTGCGCCGGAGTTCTCCTTTAAGGGGATATTTTACGCAAAAATGAAACCTGTCGTCATTAATTTACCCTCAAGTCATTCCAAAACCATATGGCTCTTTTTCTTCCGTGAAAAAACAAAAAGGAGATTTTAGGCACAATGTTCTTTTCCATGCAAAGGAGACTGACACCGTCACGCTCCACAAATGACAAAAAAAAATATCCTATTCCACATGACTTGGATGTTCTCAGTCTCTAAAATTGAAATTGTGCCTGTGTTGAATTAGGCACGTCACTGTCCAGGTTTGATATCCTTGATGGCAAACGGCATGGTTTTTTTGAAGATTTTTATATATTCTAGGTTTGAAATCACTCTTTTAGATCAATTTTTTTCTTTTAGATTTTCTTCATCTGTTTTGGTCTGTATCTGATGGTTATGTTTTTAATGCGTATTCATATTGTGGCATGAGCTGTCAGAAGTTATGTCATGAACGCGTATGATGGGCAGTTTTCAGAACACATTCTGTGGTTTGTGAGTGTGTGTGTGTGTGTGTTTCCCCCAGCACACTGATTAACCCGGGCAATCATGTGAAGATGCAGGAGGGAACGCTGGGCTTCTTCATCGCCAGTGATGCCAAAGAGGTGAAGAGGTGAGGAGATCATCGCTGTTCTCTACAGATCCACATATAGATTCAGATCACATCAGCTCTTTTGTGGTGTGGATGCTTTGAGTAACATCATCTCTTTCCATTAGGGCACTTTTCTACTGTAAAGCTTGTCACGATGACATAACAGACGCAAAACGGATCAAGAAGTGTGGATGCAAACGGAGTAAGTTATCAGAGGTTATTCATTACCAGGAGGAAATGTATTCATAAATACCTTACATATTTACAGGTGAAACTCGAAAAGTTCGAATATCGTGCAAAAGTTCATTTATTTCAGTAATTCAACTTAAAGCTCCAGTCCGTAACTTTTTTAAGTTAAAAATAATCCAAAATAATTATATTAAAAAAAACTTATTCTGCCAGTGGTCAAAACTATCTGCTTGCCATAGCTAGATTCAAAACGGTTAGCTTGTAATAATGATTTTAATTACAGTGGTACTGGTGGGTTTCCGCGGGAAATTCGAGCATGTCTTTGCGTCATGACGTCACACCCGTACACATAAAGAAGGAGTTTCGGCTAGCCGGCTATACTGCGCGTGACGAGATGTTTAGATGTATAGGCTTTTCTCGCAGCACTTTACATAATTAAACTTATGGCATCCAGAAAGATCCAAACAACAATCATCAGTGTCAACTGGAGATTCAGCAGTTATAAAACCCAAAAGACTTCGTACTTCGGATTTAAGGTGGCTAGAGAAAGAGAAAGAAACCGTCTCATGCGAACACAAGGATTTAAACATCGGCGGGGCTTTTGAAAAGTGCGTGAACTCCGTGTTTTGAAGGGGTTCAAAACGGAAGAAGAGACGGCTTTTTTCTGCTGAACAAGTAAGACATTTCAATAGTTCAATCGTGTAACAGTACGTTTTCTTAATTCACACAGTTATGGAGTTTCCTTTGTTGTGCCTTTCTCGTTTTGCTATAATGGAGAATATGAATTCTGAACTACACAGGTAACCATAAAACACATTAAATTTAACATTAGTCACGCAATGCTGATGTTGTTAACATGAACAATTTGAGAACAAAGTAGGCTATAATTTGCACGGTTGCTGTAAATCTCGTTGATTAAATCTAACGAAGCTTATCATGTCGAATGCTTTTTCCCCCTTAGTTGGTCAGAACAAAAATGGATTTTACTTACTTGTTCAGAAGACATTTTCTTATGAAAATTCTTATGTTGGTCAAACTTTCAAAAAGTGAATCTGTGATTCTGTATGCCAGTATCCACACAGCGCGGTGACTGACAGCAGCACTCGCCTCAAAGCACTGTGTTCATCCGCGCTGTTTCATGCCGATTTACAACCCACGTAAAGATGATAATTCCGCGAATCACTGCAGTTACAGATTTCGAACAGAGAGATGGCGACAAAGAGGAAAAGATACGGACTGCAGCTTTAAAAGGTGAAACTAATATATTATATAGACTCATTACATGCAAAGTGAGATATTTCAAGCCTTGTGATGATTATGGCTTATTACAGCTTATGAAAACCTTTTCACAATATTCTAATTTTGAATTTGGGGTTTTCATAAGCTGTAAGCCATAATCATGAAAATTATAACAAATAAAGGCTTGAAATATCTCACTTTGCATGTAATGAGTCTATATATTAGTGTCACCTTTTAAGTTGAATTACTGAAATAAATGAACTTTTGCACAATATTCGAACTTTTCGAGTTTCACCTGTATATATATAGGGTGTATTTCATATTGCTTTTCATTTTGCATAATAAATACATTTATTATTTTAATTGCAACTTTTCTTAAGTTATTTGACCAAATAGAATCTCTGGGAATTTTTGGGATCATTAAACTAGATTTGTTGTGAGGATTTTTACATTACAGTTTACCACAATTTTCCCCACAGCTGGCAAACAATGATTAAGATACATAACAGAAGAACATGTGCTCTCAAGAAATCGTACGTGTATTTACAAAAGAGTAAATCGTTTTTTTGTTTTTCTTCCCAAAATCACTGCACCGTCTGGCCTCATTATTGACCTTTTTGGCTTTTACCTCCACCTGATACTTTTTAAAATACCTAAAATAAAACTTTTTTAGTAACTGACACGTTTTCCCTTTTTCTCGCTGCCCTGGATCTGATCATTTCCCTCACCCTCTGATAGTGTTGTATTGTGAGTAATGACTGCCTTCATCTGTTAATGCAGATTGCTACTGTTAGCCTGCTGCATGTGTGAATGTAAAACTACATCTCCCATCAACCCACCGGCATCCATCATCAGCAGGAGACAGATTTACTTTTTACTTCTTCTAACAGGCTCCTAACAGTACTTAAGGATTATTCTGTTTTGAGTTTAGATTTAACCCAATATGTTTTTGTTTTTAATTTTAAAAGAACAGATTTTGGTGATTTATGAGGTAAATGTGTTTTGTATTATTTAAAGGATCAGTTCACTTCAGAATTAAAATTTCCTAATAATTTACTCACGCCCAACGCCATCCAAGATGTTCATGTCTTTATTTCTTCAGTCGAAAATAAATGAAGGTTTTTGAATAAAACATTCCAGGATTTTTCTGTTCCTGAAGGTTTGAAGGTCCAAATTGCAGTTTCAGTGCAGCTTCAAAAGCTCTATTCGATCCCAGCCGAGGAATAAGCAAACCATCGGCCATTTTCTAAAAAAAAAAAAAATTAATTCTGAAGTGAACTAATCCTTTAAGAGGTAAAAAAAATATATTCCTGTACTGTGCAGGAAGCGTTACAGTGAGCTCCTTTTCATTCACCTCCATGCATTTCCATGGTTCACCTGCATCTCAAAAATAGAATATTCCCACGAATATAAAAAATAATTAAAAACAGAATTGAAACCTTTTAAGCTGATACCTTATTGTTGAAAAACACAACAGATTTTACTCTGTAACAGAATTGTATATAACTTGATAACAAACATGATTTTCTGATGGTGTTCCCCAGGGCTCTATACGTGGCCCGCTGTAGTTTCCAGATGTCCAGCTTCTGCTAGTGAAATAATTCTCCCATCCATTAACATGCTTCTCCTCCTCCTTTCCCCTCATCCACCCCATGACCCCAGACAAGAAGTCCAACTACAAGAGAATGCGTCTGGCATGTTGTGTAGCTTGCGGTGGGGCAGAACGTGGCTGCTCGTGCATGTCAGACAGTGTGGCTAGTAACATGGAGGTTCTGCACCGTGGCTTCCCCCTCTCTCCCGTGTCTCTGTATGATAACACGACCACTTTACACTCCTGTAAGTGAACGCCTCCCCAGGTGGCACTTGTGCCGAGTGCCTGTGTAGTCATCTGTGCCCGCCGCCTGTGTACTGTATGTGCCATCTGGCTGGTGCAGTGCCATGATGTGAAGCCCATACAGTATCTGTGTGGTAGACTTGGACTCCTGCATGCAGTTTGTGTGAAATGTAATGATGCAGTTCAGTAGTTTAGTTTTGTTATTCATTCAATCTTCATTTTAATGCTTTATTTTACGTGCGGATGTGTTTAGAATAAAACAGCAGTCTTTATCTCAATTATGTGCAGTTTATGCTGTGTTTTATTCTAATGATTTAGATGTGCTGATTGGAATTACTAACACTTACAACAGTATAGGAAGATGGTTATATAGGAGAGTTTACAGTATATGCTGTAAATACGTGTCATTCGTATGGTCAAAAGTTTGGAATCAGTGAGATTTTTTATGTTTTTTAAAATAAGTCTCTTCTACGGAGCCCCCCTAGTCCCACTTTGTCAAAAAAAATTATTATAACTATCTCGTGGCCTCAAGATAAGTAACTCGTGGCCTCAAGACAAGTAACTCGTGGCCTCAAAATAGTATCTTGAGGCCACGAGTTACTTATCTTGAGGCCACGAGATAGTTATAATACATTTTTTTGACAAAGTGGGACTAGGGGGGCTCCGTACTCTTCTGCTCACCAAGGCTGCATTTTTTTTATTAAACAACAAAAAACAGTTATATTGTTTAATATTATGACAATTTTAAATATCTGTTTTCTATTTGAATGTATTTTAAATTTATCTATTCATCAAAGAATACTGAAAAAAAATTGTACATCATTTTTTTCAACATTGATAATAATAAACGTGTCTTTATGATTTCTGAAGGATCATGTGACACTGAAGACTGGAGTAATGATGCTGAAAACTCAGCTTTGATCACAGGAATAAATGACACTTTAAAACATATTCATATAAAAAAACAGCTATTTTAAATTGTAATAATATTTCACAATATTACTGTTTTTATTGTATTTTTAATCAAATAAATGCAGCCTTTGTGAGCAGAAGAGACTTATTTTAAAAACACAAAAAATCTGACGGATCCCAAACGTTTGAACGGCCGTCCTGTACAGAGGAGGAAAGGACAGATGTGTAACAGCGACAGGAGTTTTTGGGCTAACAATTCCTTGATGAGTTTGTGTAGGTTTTCTTTTCCATGGTGCTTGGTTTTATGTGCTTTTATTTAACATGTTAATTTATAGACAGTCAGTTCCATAGAGAAAACACTCACGCTAGTGTGATTTATTTTATAGGCCCATTTCTTTCGTTTTCAGATTTTGTAACTCAAATGCTCACTGGTTCATCATTTCACTGCTCCTTAACTTTGTCTTTGCATTTTCTCAGCTAAAAGTAACTATAACGGATACATCAAATCAAGTAAGTCTTTTCTCCATTTTTACTCATGTGTTTCTTAAACTGCTGTTTCTTCCTCACTTCCTTCATTCATTCTTCTGCTCATGTCCAAACCTCAGTGTTGTGTATTACTCATAAAAACATGTTCTGGTGTATATAAAGCAGTCCAAAATAGTACATAAAGTCATACATAAATAGTGACAGACAAGCACGTGCTTAGAATAACCAGAACGATATCTTCCGCTGGTATAGTTATCGTTCTTCTTGCTGTGAACAGGCCTTAAGTCTTTTGCTCATTGATAATATTTAGTGGATGTACGAAGTCAGTTCACACAGGCCGTAAGTGTGCAAATACTGTCTGTGTACTTCCACTGATGCACTGCTCTCTCCCAGCACCAGATGGCGCTGCTAAACTGCAGTTATGATTATGTGGAGTTATAACTTTATAAACGGCTTAATCTTCACTGCTTTAGCTTTCATTTGTTTTCTTTGTCTTCTAAACTTTTTTGTGAAGTTTAGAATAATGCAGAATAATTCAGCTAGCTTTAGTTTGTGAATGTCACCACTACCTGACAGATGTCAATAATAAATCAATAAATAATTTTTTAATACAGATGATCAATATAAAAAAAAAACATGCACTGGATTTAAATCTGGATACATTTTTTGTTTTCTTATAAAAAACTGTATTTTCAAGTATCACATATTAAATAGCAAACAAAAATATGAGGTTTCAAAACAATTTGACAACAGCACCTGTCTTTAATATTACAGTTGTTAGTCAAGATGGCAGTAAATTGAATAGATAATATTAAGTAATATGTGAAGTAAAATTGAAATTAAAAATTCTAAAATAAACAACATTATATCAGTCATACATTAGCAACGGTATAAAAAAACCCAGTGAAATCCATTTTAATTTCTAGATTTGGCTGATTCTCTCCTCTGCCTGATAATGAATGTTTCTTGTCCGACAGTAAACGATGAGCTCAATCCAACATTCCAGCCCCAGAACCCTAACGCCACGCTAAGCCGAGCTGCGAGCGCAGTGAGAACAGTGAGAGCGCCCCCTGCTGTCCGGGTGCCGCTAGTTAATAACCGTAAAGGGAGTGTGCTGTCACCCGCCGCCTCATACCTGCACAGACTCAGCCTGGCCAGCTCTAGAGACCTGTATCAGACGGGCGCGGGCGCGGGCACAGGAGCGGGCACAGGCACAGGCGCGGGTCTGCATCGGGCCTGCAGTCTGCCTGTTAAATACAGATATCATTCCAGCTCCACCATCAGACTCCGTAAGACTCGGCCTGGCAGTGTGGCTAATGCATGTGGACTAACAGAGTTCAGAAATACTAAAACGCTCCTGTGTTGATTGTTGGAAAAATATGTTTTTTTTTTCATTTACTGTGTTTTGTAGGTCGTTTAGTAGAGCTGGGCGCAAAAAATAAAACCAAAAACAAGTGAATAATATTTTACGCCACTCAAACGAAAGTATGTGGACCAGAAATATGATTGCATCTTAATAAAATTAATGAATATTTAATAAAAATGCATTATAAAAATTGATAATAATAACAAAATCATAAACAAGCGGGAAAAAAATTGCTGATTGCAACACTGAATTCACTGAATTCAGTCTTTTTTATTTTATTTTATAAACTGCATGGTGCAAAAAGTTCAAAGTGCTTGTAAATTAAAAGCTAGATGGTGTTTTTCATATTTAAAAAAGATTACTTGCAACTAATAGTTTTATAGTTAAAGCTGAATTAAAATAAAACTAAAAGTTTTTAGGACATAATTAACTATTATTTAATTAAAAATGGGCTATATAATATGGCACGGTGCGTTTCCTTCACCAGCCATTGGCAGACAAGTTTAATGATGAGTTAGTTAATATTAGTTAGAGTATATTAAAAAAAAAGCTGAAAGCTGTTTGTGCATTTATGAGGGCTTATGCATTTAAAAAGGGAGTGAAATTTTAATTAAATCAATTTTAATGTTGCTCCGTATGAAACTAATGCTGGTAAAGGATTGTTAGTCAAACTTCCTCGAATCTCCCACTGTTTCTCTTTCCATACTCTTCATCCCTTCGTGTTGTCGTATCGTGTTTTAATGGTTTGTTAATGAGCGAGTGTTGTGTTGTCTCAAACTGTCGCTGGTGTTTCAGTAGTTGAGGAGGAACAGCAGTCGGCTCTGTCGCCCAAGAAGAAACAGCGTAACGGAGGAATGAGAACGTCGCCCAATTGCTCGCCAAAGATCAGGTGAGAGCGCAAACGTGTCTCTTCAATAAGCAATACGGCGTTATTACACTTGCATTGCATTACACCATAAAGCTATTATTAACCAAGTCACTTAAGAACAAGTCATTTTCAACGACTTAAATTAAGTTCTCCTGAAGGACATACTAACATATTACAACACACACACACACACAAGCTGTGATAAAAACTCTCCCTAATAGTTTTTTAAAAGCAGAGATTTAAATAAATGACTCGCATTACAATCATTTGCAGCAGCGAAACTAAAAGCAGAGCGACCATTTTCTAGGGATAATCAAACGAATATGATTAGATGATCGACTATAAAGCATTGTGATGGTGAGTTTTGCACAGATAAACACCCTTCTCATACTGTATATTTCAGAAAATGTCAGTCTAGCTCTTGATCGTGTGTGTGTGTGTGTGCGCACTCACAAAACGACACCAGTGACTCCAGCCAATCAGAGTCCAGGATCAGTGTGTGTTGCCTCAGGCTGTAGTTCTGCTGCCCGAATCCCTCCCGAGTCTCAGCCGCACTTAGTGCTGTCCGACACGACGCCTGCTTTTAACTCCCAGAACCTGCCTTTTATCCTGTCCGTCAGAATCACACATCCATTTATTGATTCTGACGGATGAAAGAGCTGCTAATAAATTAATAAAAGCCATTAATATGCAATGAGAATAATATCTTCTGAATAGTTTATCAAGACACCAGACAGGAATGATTCATATTATATAGACTGGAATTTGACAACAAGTGGGATTTAGAGAGAAATAAATCACCAAATAATGAATCATAAATTTATATTAATCATATATATATATATATACTTATCTTGTCCTGCAGCTTTTGTGACTAGTATTTCCTCAACTTGCACAGCCTGTTGGTTTGTTTGAACATTTCATAGAAATGTAACGGTTAACAAAATGATTAATTTTGTGTCTCCGTTTATAGACGACATGCTTTTTTCTGTATGTCCTATTTAATATTAATTTTGTCAGCTAGTTTTAATCAAGCAAAAATCTGAGCATTTTTGTCTAGTTTTAGACAATGAAAACTTAGTCACATTTTGATCTTGCTGCATAAACTCCTAACGATTATTTTGCTCAAAATTATAATCACAACGATTGTTATCATTTGAGAAATTTATGTTTACATTTCATCAGAATTATTGCACTTTCATATATAAGCACAAATCTAGAGGATGTCAACTCATACGCATGGTTTATTTGACCTCATCTAGTTTCCTGATTTTTTTACAGGCTATTTGTCATAAATGAACACATTAAAAAATTAATCTCTAGATAGTTATTCCAATAATTCTAAATTACATTCGCACTATCCCTATTATTGTGTAATAAAATACTAGCAGATTAAAACTGCTCTGTAAAAAGTACATCTGATATTATGTTTAAAAATACATTTGAATAAGTTTATGTTTAGCCTTTTTAGCGTGGCTGCAGTTTAACTAGTGATTAGCATTATCAAAACTACTTGTGTAGTGTAACATTCACATTGCAGACTGGAGAGAGCCGCTGACTGAGACGTGTTCACAGCTCATCTGAGACGAGGTCTGCTATTGTATGGGCATGTGCCGCGCAGACACAGCGGGATCTCCGGCTCAGGCTAGTTTTCCACGAGGCGTTTGATTGTCTGCAGCGTTCAGCGGTAGCCCTAGGGCTCTCAGAAACACTGGTGTGGCGTATCAGCTGTGGTTCCTGCAGGCCCGGGTGAATTAGTAATGAAGAGCAGATTGAATCGAGCTCTTTAGAAAGCATGTTAGTGTCAGGTTATGTGAGGGAAGAGACTCTCTCAGGGCAGCGATGCTTTCATAGCCTGGAGAACATCAGGGTTTGATCTCAGCCGATGGACACATCCATAATAAACAACGCAAAATAACCTAAATATTCTCTCATCTAGTGTTTCTGCCACCCCGCAATCTGTTTTACATTATCAGTTTTATTTGTTTTATACAGTTTACCATTTTGCTCCTGAAATACACACACACACACACACACATATATATATGTGTGTGTGTGTGTATTTTAGCAGCAAAATCGTTCCAGAAAATTATATAAAAAAATTTTTCTTTCTTTTTTTCTACAGTATATAATATGCTGTATATATATATATATATATATATGAATGTAGTTAAGCAACAAAACCATTCCAGAAAATTATATACAAAATTATATCATTTTAAAAATATTTGTTTTTATTTATTTTTTGCTGCAATACATCATATATATTTCAGCAACAAAATCATTCCATAAAATTGTATATGGACTTTCAACTTCAAAATGTGTCACTTGCCATTTCTTTGTAATTATTTGTGAAATTTATTAGCAATTTTGGACTGAAAATTGTTTGAAAGTAGATCCCACACCAATTTTTTCCTAGTGTATGTTCAGTAACTTAGTGACATTATTATTCTTCATAAATCTCAGTGATCTAAAAGTCACCTTATTTAGCTTTATGTTTATGCAATTTACATTATATTCATTATCTTCGTTTTCCATGATAATCCCAAATGATGTTTCGTTTCAACCTGTGTTTGAGTCAGGTCTTATCCACACGCAGCTACAGGACCCGACTGAGACACACTCACTCTTTTCTGACCGCTATGAGCAGATCAGCCAGCTATTGACTTTCTGCTGGCGAGGATCGTATAAATGTGTTTAGCATTGACAAATGAAGCCCCTGAGAGTATCGAATAGAGCGAGCGAGGCTGTTTGTTGAAACATTAAACGTTGTTTCACTGCGAGAGATTGAGTCTTTATGAATCTGCTGTCAATGAAGGTCTGATGGAGTCGAGTCTGATGTCACGTCTGATAACACTCATCTCGACTCTTCAGATCACAGCGGCTCACGTTCATCACAACCAAAACATGTCCAGGTCACGTTACTCTCGAAAATCAGAAAATCTCCAGTATATTTTACATGAAGAAAATGAAGCTTAGAACCATTACCATTGTTGTTACGGTCAGGACGAGGCGAAGCAGAGAATAATCCAACATGAGGAAAAATAAATGAAACTGAGGGCATTATATAGGCCTACACAACTAACCAAGGGTCAAAAAACAAGGAACAGGTGTGTGAAATCAGTGAAACAGGTAACCATGACAACCAATGATAAATGTGCTAGAAACAATGACAATAGAAAGGAAACACAGGAAATAATGAGGACAAGCTAAAAGTCCTTGAACAATTGTTCTGCTTTGTGACATTATTTTCATGATAAGCTCATTTTGAAACTTTTTTAAATGAGAAAATAAAATCTAAATGACGTTACTGTTCAAGTTGTTACCAAGGTAAATGATTGGTTTAGTTACACAATTAGTGTTAAAACCATTTTCATAATTTTTTTTGCAATATAACAATAATACTATAAATGTTTTATATTGATAAATTTCATGTAAAAAACTATACAATAATAGTATTATTGTTTATAATATTGTAATATAATTGTAATTGGAAAAGTAATGTGAATTAGTTTTTGAGAGGTTAACTGTCATAAAATAATGTGATAATACAAAATAAAATGATATAATTTTATTAGGGCTGTCAAATGATTAATCACGATTAATCACATCCAAAATAAAAGTTTTTGTTTACATAATATATGTGGGTGCACTGTGTATAATTATTTTGTATATATATAAATACACACACATGCATGTATATTTAAGAAAAAAATATTATTTATATATAAAATATTTATATCTAATATAAATTATATATAAATCTATATACAGTATATACATGAAAATATTTCTTAAATATATACAAGCATGTGTGTGTATTTATATATATAAAATAATTATACACAGTGCACCCACATATATAATGTAAACAAAAACTTTTATTTTGGATGTGATTAATCGTGATTAATCATTTGACAGCCCTAAATTTTATGCAAAATTCATTTTTTTAATGCAATTTTTAATGTCTTTTTTTTTTTTACATGACTCATGTTCTTGACAGATTTTTTTTATATGAACCCTTGAATGCACATGAGGACAGGGAAAGTGTGTGTTTGTGATGTAATGTGGCACAGGTTGTCCGGTTGGTCTCGCGCTGCTGACCGTGAGCGTTAGATGTGATGGACAGAGAGCTGGAGGACGTGAAGAGAGCCGTCTACAGCTCAGACTCTAATGGCCTAATGATGGAGGGGAGACAGATTGAAAATAAAGTCACAACGGCTGTGTGTGACGGATGGAAAGCTCTCTGACATCTGCTGAAACCTTCACCTCTTTAATGGGCAAATCAAACGTCCCTGAGTCTCCTGTTCTCCACCAGGTCCTGTAACACGAGCCGTGCTTCCCAGGATCCAGTTCATTCTCCTCAAATGTGTGATTTATAAAGACTAAAGCGTGTCATTGGTCTTGTTACAAATGGAGCCGGAACATGAATTTGGTCGAGATGTAGGTATTTTAACTTTTCGATGTGTTTTGTGGTTTGTTTATTTCAGGCATGACCCGTTGCTGGTCTCAGGACACGATCAAATGGAAACGATGGATGAGAACATAAAGAAATATGATTCTACAGGAATGTTTCACTGGTGTCCATCGAAAGACATAGAGAAGGTCCTCCTGGTAAGAGACAATCAGAACATTACAAAACAGAATTGAGTGAAATGACATTTTAAAACTTTGTTTTCCAATATTTAGATGCCAGACCAGTGTTATAGTATCATATTTTACATTGTATTATAGTATTTATTCATAGATTTTATTTGTATGTTTTCCATTTTAGTATTAGTAATTTTGTTGTGTTTTTTTTTTTTGTCAGTTTGTCAATTAAAATGTCTATTTTATATTATAATTTTTTTAGTTTAGTTGTTTTTAGTAATTTTATTACTAAACTAAATGGAAATTCTATTTTTTTTGTCGGTTTAATGACTTTTTTAAAGAAAAATATGCATATTCAGTTTATTTTTATTTGTTTTAGTTCAATTTTAGTGTTGTTGATTTTAGTTCTTCAACAAAACTACATAAAAAATTACAAATGTTGCATTGCCAACTAACTGAAATATTCACTCAGAAGAGTATAACTTAAAGTAAGTTTTAATAATTTTGAGTATTTTTGTCAAGTATTTTTATTACTTTTTTGTGTCTTTCAGTTTTCAACTAAATGAGAATTTTTTATTTGCCAGTTTGCTGAAAGTATAACAGAAAGTATTTTTATTTCTATATTTAATTTAATTTAACATTTATATTATTTCAATTAACCTAAATGTTTTTTCTCTAGTTTTAGTTATTACCGGTGTCAGACTAGTGTTTGTGAGGTCAGTCATAAATCATATTAGTGTGTTCTTCTCTCTCAGACTCGGAGCGAGGCGGCGATGACCGTTTTGAGTGGTCACGTGGTGGTTTGTATATTCGGGGACGTGAAGTCGGCTGTGATTGGTCTGCGTAACCTGGTGATGCCTCTGAGAGCCAGTAACTTCCATTACCACGAGCTGAAGCCCATCGTGTTCGTGGGCTCTCTGGAGTACCTGAAGAGAGAGTGGGAGACGCTACACAACTTCCCCAAAGTCTCCATCTTACCGGTGAGTGGCGTCTCTCTCTGTTAAACCAGTGTTGGCGTACATCGGCGCGTTTCTGACGCCTGTCACTCGTTCAGGGCACTCCATTGAGCCGGGCCGATCTGAGAGCCGTCAACATCAACTTGTGTGACATGTGCGTCATCCTGTCAGCCAATCAGAACAACATCGACGACGCCTCTCTTCAGGATAAGGAATGTATTCTGGCGTCTCTCAACATCAAGTCTATGCTGTTTGATGACAGTATTGGACTTCTGCAGGCCAACTCTCAAGGTAACGGCAGGACCCGTACAATGCAAACATTTTATGTTTTGTTTTCCATTACATATGTCTAATAAAATAGAATTTACTTGAGATATTGAGATTATAGATAGTGAGTTTATGCTTAAAGCAAGAACAAATATCTGACATAATTTTTTCTTATTTTAAGCATAAATTCACTTGGTTTTCATAGAAGACTTAATATCTTAAAGTGCCCCTGTTATGCTATTTTAACCCTCTGGGGTTGTTCGGCCCAAATGGACCCGAATCATTCAAAAAAAAAATGTTAAAAATCACAGCTTCTTCGGAATGGTCCGAAATTTGGTGACTTTGTTGGTATTTGGTATATGAACACCCAAAAAAAAATTGGGGACAGGATGTGAACAGTCTAAGTGGTTGTAAAAAAATAGTCACACTCAGGACCTTCGGGTCCAAATGGACCCCCATAGGAAATGAATGGGAAATTGGCAAAAATGTAAAAAAACAGAGTTTTTTTGTGCGTACAATCTACAAATCAGCCACGATCCATAAAAAAGGCACACAACAGTGAAGGGGTGAATCTATAAAACATCAAGAGTGCAAAACAGACACATCCACACACACACACACACACAAACACACTTTTATACACATACACACTAATAAATTCAGATTACATATGGGTTTTGAATTTTTAAAATGCTCAGTTTGTCCACCAGATGGCATCCATCTCATTTTAAAAATTGCTTTCATGAGGCCTAGGCTTGACTCTAAAATGAAATACAGCTTTAAAAAAAAAAAAAAAAAAATCTATTATATTTAATGGGGAAAAAATGGGTCATAATTATTGCATAAATATTAATTATAAATCATAAAATATCTCAAAACACCAAAAAAGAAAAGAAAAAAAGTATAAAAAACAAGTAAAAAAAAAAATTATGATTTTTTTTTTTTTTAAATATGAATCCTGCCCTTTGGGTCCATTTGGACCCGAACACCCCAAGTGTGACTGTTAAACGAACAACCCCAGAGGGTTAAAGGTTTCTAATGTTGTTTTGGAGTCTCCTGTAACATGTTTACATGCATTTAAGGTCTAAAACACTAATTTTCTCATAATACACTGTAGCATCAGCTCTTTTCTCTCAGTGTCTGAAACGCTTCGTCTGCAGATTCAGTCTCTCTAAACCCCTCATTATCATATCTGAATCTCAGCTCTGGATCACAGTGATACGAACAGTGACGATGGCGTGGGTTTTACCGTATCAATCTCAGAAAACAGTGTCTCCTCGACACGAACAACACGAGCCGAACTCTTCCAGTCTCAGATAAACTAGTGTTTGAGGGCGGAGCTAAGAGACGCTGTTCAGCCAATCAAGACCAGAGGCTGGCATTATGCAAATAAGTTATAAATAGTGCTGTCAAACGATTTAAATATTTAATCGCGATTAATCGCATTAATGTCATAGTTAACTTGCGATTAATCGCACATTTTTATCTATTCTAAATGTCTCTTGATTTCTTTTTGTCCCATTATTTTTTCTCATTTTATTGCTCTTATCAACATGGAAAAGTGGATCGGCTTGCTTTGTGCAAATGTTTTTTTATTGAAAACAATATTGGCATATACTGTGTTCAATTTCGCACTAACATTCTCACTTGGAGCAAATAATCTCTCAATGTAAAACTGTCCATCAATAAAAGGGTGAAAGAAATACTGACGAGGTCCTGATATTGACGAGGGGGCGGAGAATTCGCATCAGCTCTGTGTGTGTGTGTGTGTGTGTGTGTGTTAGGGGTGGAACGGTACATGTATTCGTATCGAACCGAAACGGTACGGGCGTCACGGTTCGGTGCACGAATTTACACGGAGAATACACGGTATAAAAATAAATAAAACTCGCGTGCAAATTAATTAATGTAATGCAGAACTACTGTTAGATACGCGGGTTCTTTATGGACACATAATCTGTACCATCGGCTTAGCTCTGAACGCGCGTTCACTTCAAACGTTGGCTTTATACACGCGTCCTATTTGCTTTCGACTAGCGTCGAACTAGACGCGAATGTGACGCTCTATTCGCGTTTGGTGTGACCATGACCGCATAATGAACAGGCAGCGATGTCAAGATTGCAATGCTGGTGTGTGTGTGTGCGAGAGAGAGAGAGAGAGAGAGAGGCGCGCGGGCGCGATCGAACTGTGTGTGTGTGTGAGTGAGAGAGAGAGAGAGAGAGAGAGAGAGAGAGAGAGAGGCGCGCGGGCGCGATCGAACTGTGTGTGTGTGTGAGAGAGTGAGAGAGAGAGAGAGAGAGAGAGAGAGAGGCGCGCGATCGAACTGTGTGTGTGAGTGAGAGTGAGAGAGAGAGAGAGAGAGAGAGAGAGAGAGAGAGAGAGAGAGAGAGAGAGAGAGAGAGAGAGGCGCGCGATCGAACTGTGTGTGTGAATGAGAGAGAGAGAGAGAGAGAGAGGCGCGCGATCGAACAGTGGAAACATAAAAACATACTCCGTCATTTTGTTCAGATCATTAAACCTGCAAAGTGTTTACTTATATTTGTGTACACTCGCAATAAAACACAACATTGTGCTTTTGTCACACTGTAAACTCTTGTCAAACTGTAACCTACAACTGTCACCCAACCAAAATCACACACACACACACTGTTTTAAAAGCAAAACATATTTATCCAACTCCATTTCAAAACAGTCTGTGGGTCCCATCTTTTGGACATTCGTCATATTGCATTGGTTTTCATTTCTTGTCCTCGGAGCACTAATCTTATAACCTGACTCCGCCAGATGGATTTGCTCCGCATATCCATCTGGAAACCTTCCGTTGAAGTAGTTTTGGTAAGGGGCGAAAATACTGGTTAGCTGATTGGCCTATGTTGGTGATAGACGGGCCAAATCAACCAATCAGATCAACGAAGCATATGACGTACTAACAGAGCGTATCTTTTCCTCTGAGAAAAGCCTCCAGAGCAGTGTTTTGCTCTTCTTTCAGTGAAGAAATACTCTGTAATTCCGATAAAACTTGCTCGATAGCCACGCTGATGCTAGTTTCATCCGCTGAAGCCGACATGTTCTTTAGACTGAACTGACGCGCTTCTCGTTGCGTCACACCTCAACCCGCCTCAAAGCCAACGCTGATTGGACGTTCGTTTGGTGAACTGCTCCCAAATTTTCTTTAACGGAAAGTATCCAGACTGATCTGCGAGTGAAACCTTGAAAGCTCGCGAGATCAGGATGGTCTCACGAGGCTACTAATCTTACACATTCTACATTGATAAAAAAAAGAAAATCGAATGTGTTTTTAATGGTAGTATTATTTTATACAGAAATCAATTATTTATAATTCAGAAGAGAATAATGTTACATTGTTAATTAATAATGTTAATTAAAATTAAGGAAAACAAATATATTGATCTGAAATATAGCAAAATAATTTTAAATTAATTCCGGTACAATTACCAAACATATCGCAAGGTCTTTTTGTCTTTTTATTAATTTAATTAATAAACTAATTATATGAAACTATTGTCAGTGCACTACAAATAAACTGGTTCTATGTCTTTATTAAAAAAACGTATTTAAAAAATACAATGCCTTCTGCATTTTTGTTTTGCTTTTCCCTCCATTGTACCGAAATCGTACCGAACCGTGATGTCTGAACCGAGGTATGAACCGAACCGTGACTTCTGTGTACCGTTCCACCCCTAGTGTGTGTGTGTGTGTGTGTGTGTGTGAGTGCTTGGCCATCATCAAGTGGTGTTTCAGACTGGACGTGTTGCGATGATGATAGCTCAGTTCACAACGACAAAACACACAGATCACTTTGGTCTCGTCAATGGAACCATTTGGCAACTTTTTAAAAGTAAACTTTCCATTCCGAATCTTATTGGCATCCATTTCAGCGTCTCGCGCTCGACATCCACTCAAAACGTAACGTTAACCTACTATTTGGCCGGCTCGCAAGCCCAAACAAGTGTGTGTGGCGTGCCTGTTGTCTTGTTTCCGGTCTAGCTAGATCCGCTTGCGCTTTCAAAACGTCCTCGCACGGCGCAAGCCATTGAAATGAATGGGTTTCATAGCGTAGCACCGCGCACGCCGCGTCCTGTTGCAAAAGCATGTAAAAAAAAACTACAAAGTTTGCTAGGCCAAAAAGACTGTTAATTGCGCCATAAAAACATTAACGCCGTTAAAATGGGTTTGCGTTAACGCCGTTAATAACGTGTTTAACTGACAGCCCTAATTATAAACCTATGCAGGTTCAGCAGGAAGTGAGACGACTCGTTTCAGTTCAGAATCGATTCTTTTTTTAGGAGACAAAAACTCCATTTATCAGAACAAAACTACTGAGTAAGAAAACTATTTTTTTTGCAGTGAAAGCCAAACAGACAGTCAGAAAGGAAGTGAATGGTTTTGTTTGTAACTGATAGTTGTTCTTCTGTTGTGTTCCTGCTCCAGGTTTCACTCCTCCTGGAATGGATCGCTCCTCTCCGGAGAACAGTCCTGTTCACGGACTGGTACGGCAGGCGTCCATAACCACAGGAGCAAACATTCCCATCATCACTGAGCTCGGTGAGACTCACATTGCAAGGACACATTAAAAATGTATCAAGAGGGACAACAAACACATTTATAATGTTACAAAAGATTATATTTCAAATAAATGCTGTTCTCTTGAACTTTTTTATTCATCAAAGAATCCTGAAAAATAAAATGTATCACATTTCCCAAAGAAATATGAGCTGTTTTCACCATTAATAATAATGTTTCTTGAGCATCAGATCCTCATATTAGAGTGATTTCTGAAGGATCATGTGACACTGAAGACTGGAGTAATGATGCTGAAAATTCAGCTTTGATCACAGGAATAAATTACACTTTACTATATATTATATTATATATAAAAATTCACAATATTACTGTTTTTATTGTATTTTAGATCAAATAAATGCAGCATACTTCAAAAAACTAAAAAAAAATGTTTTCATCTATAACACTTAACCATAACATTAACTAACAATGAGCAATAGAGGGATTTATTAATCCATTAAATAATATAACCAGGTAAAACTTTTAATTTTACTAATGTATTAGTAAATGTTGACATTAACTAAGATTAATACATGCTTTAGAAGTATTGTTCAGTTGTTAACTAATGGAGCCTGGGAAAAAGTTGCGCTTGCGTGTAAATGGCTGTTTTAGTAACTGGATGGTTTTGGTAAGTTGCTAGAAGTGCTGTTGAAGCTAGTGTGTGGGTTTCTGGTAACTAGCTGCTATGGTAACTGGTTGTTTTATGCTGATAGCTAAAACAGACAAGTTGCTGCCCCTGGTTTCTCTGAGCCAGGACAAGAGCAGCGGAAACAACATCCCAATGATAACTGAGCTGGGTAAGACCCGCTGACGGGCGGCTCACCGGACACACGTGCTTCATTCCTCATCCTTTAGACTTTATTCCTTTAGTTCTGTCAGTGCTTCAGTTTTCTTTTCATGCACTCTGTTGCTTTCTGAGGGTGTTTTTCGGTGTTGGCATGAGCGCCGTGTGTGACTGTCGCATGCTGTGAATCCTGTGTGTTTTTGTGTGGTGAGACGCTGGTCCTTCCTGTCAAACTGCTAATCAATTGTCTTTTAATAAATAATCCGTCACTCCGTTTCTGAGTCTCAGACTGGAAACACACGAGTTCAGGGTCCAAAATGACCTTCCTGCCACTTCTGCCAATGAATTGATAATATTTTCTGGCAATAAATGTTTTTTACTGACCATGAAACTGCATTTTGCATTATTTTTATTATATATATATATATAAAAAATATAGACTTGTTTTATCAGACTCATCCATTAACACACATCATAATATCATGTTGCTTCAAGAAGGTCTGGATAAAAAGTAGAACTTATTCTTACTATTTTACTTCTAATAAAGTTTTATTACATTTACCTGTTTTACTCACATTTTCCTGATACTAATGTAACAGATTGCTTAGGTAACACAGCTGGTGGTAAAATTATTATTTTATTTATTTATTTAAATAAACTAAAAGGCAGTTCAACAAATCCAAATAAAAATAATTATATTACATTTATAAATTTAATCTAAAATTTCTGACTTAAATTGTGACTGGAAAAGTAATGAGAATTCGTATTTGGGGGGATTGTCATAAACAAAAAAGATAATACATAAAGGTCCATCTTTGCAATATGTATTTTTTATTTTAGTTTAATTTTGTGGTGAAACATGACTCATGATCCATGATCTGACTTATTTTTGGCAGGTTTTATCAGAAGTTCTGAAGGTGTGGGGAAAAATATTAACTAGACAGGATTCATTGTTGTTTTTTATGCTGTTGTTCTTCTAATAAAGTTCTTATTAAATCTACCAGCCACTGCACTGATAAAAGTTACTCCAAAAAGTGTTCATTTTTGACCCTGTGTTGTCCTGTTATTTCCTGTGAATGTTCTTTAATAATAATCCTCACTTAAATACAGTAATTACATTCCTAACAATCAGTGTGTGTGTGTGTGTGTGCAGTGAACGACTCAAACGTCCAGTTCCTGGACCAGGATGATGACGACGACCCCGACACAGAGCTGTATCTCACACAACCCTTCGCCTGTGGAACGGCGTTTGCCGTCAGTGTGTTGGATTCATTAATGAGTGCTGTAAGTCTCACTGAAAACACTGGCGTCAGACCTCAAGCGCTGTCCTGCGACTTTAAAGGGATAGTTCACCCAAAAATGAAAATTAGCCCATGATTTACTCTCCCCCAGGCCATCCCAGGTGTATGTGACATTCTTCTTTCAGACGAATACAATCAGAGTTATATTAAAGGAGAACTCCGGCGCAAAATGAACCTTTGGTCTAATTACACATTGTTACCTAGTCAACCGTTCTCTGAGATTTGTTTTCATGATTATCGAATGTAAATAGTTTTATCTCTAAAAACAGTTTAGCCTATAAAGCCAGTATAACGCTAGTATATTGGGCATAGTGTAATGACAAATAAAAATCGCTTGTTAATACCACTAACAAGGCTGAAAATAGCCCCACACTAACACGGTAGCATAATGAGGGTCCCTACCTTCAAACCGAAGCATTGAGAACTTTGTCAGTGTCCAGACAGTTTAATAAGAAGATATTTTAAACATACAGTCAACTTCGCGTATACAGGCAGAAGCCATCTTTGAAATACAGCCTTTACCAGTCGATCTACGAACGCCATAAAACGCCATTAAGTCCATAAAAGCACATCCATCATAAAAGTGCATCTATCAATCATAAAAGTGCATTTATCCATCTAGATAGATCCACTACATCTATCCAAAAATGCTCTAGATGCACTTTTATGATGGATGGATGCACTTTTATGATGGATGGATGCACTTTTATTATGAATGGATGCACTTTTATGATGGATGGATGCACTTTTATGATGGATGGATGCACTTTTATGATGGATGGATGCACTTTTATGATGGATAGATGCACTTTTATGATGGATAGATGCACTTTTATGATGGATGGATGCACTTTTATGATGGATAGATGCACTTTTATGATGGATGGATGCACTTTTATGATGGATGGATGCACTTTTATGATGGATAGATGCACTTTTATGATGGACGGAAGCATTTTTATGATGGACGGATGCACTTTTATGATGGACGGATGCACTTTTATGATGGATGGATGCACTTTTATAATGGATAAATGCACTTTTATGATGGATAGATGCACTTTTATGATGGACGGATGCATTTTTATAATGGATAAATGCACTTTTATGATGGACAGATGCACTTTGATGATGGATGAATGCATTTTTATGATGGATGGATGCACTTTTATAATGGATAGATGCACTTTTATGATGGATGGATGCACTTTTATGATGGATGGATGCACTTTTATGATGGATAGATGCACTTTTATGATGGATGGATGCACTTTTATGATGGATAGATGCACTTTTATGATGGATGGATGCACTTTTATGATGGATGGATGCACTTTTATGATGGATAGATGCACTTTTATGATGGATGGATGCACTTTTATGATGGATGGATGCACTTTTATGATGGATAGATGCACTTTTATGATGGATAGATGCACTTTTATGATGGATAGATGCACTTTTATGATGGATGGATGCAATTTTATGATGGATAGATGCACTTTTATGATGGATAGATGCACTTTTATGATGGATAGATGCACTTTTATGATGGATGGATGCACTTTTATGATGGATGGATGCACTTTTATGATGGATAGATGCACTTTTATGATGGATAGATGCACTTTTATGATGGATGGATGCACTTTTATGATGGATAGATGCACTTTTATGATGGATGGATGCACTTTTATGATGGATGGATGCACTTTTATGATGGATGGATGCACTTTTATAATGGATAAATGCACTTTTATGATGGATAGATGCACTTTTATGATGGACGGATGCATTTTTATAATGGATAAATGCACTTTTATGATGGACAGATGCACTTTGATGATGGATAAATGCATTTTTATGATGGATGGATGCACTTTTATAATGGATAAATGCACTTTTATGATTGACAGATGCACTTTGATGATGGATAAATGCATTTTTATGATGGATGGATGCATTTTTATAATGGATAAATGCACTTTTATGATGGACAGATGCACTTTGATGTTGGATAAATGCATTTTTATGATAGATAGATGCACTTTTATAATTGATAAATGCACTTTTATGATGGACAGATGCACTTTGATGATGGATAAATGCATTTTTATGATGGATGGATGCATTTTTATAATGGATAAATGCACTTTTATGATGGACAGATGCACTTTGATGTTGGATAAATGCATTTTTATGATTGGATGGATGCACTTTTATAATGGATAAATGCACTTTTGTGATGGACAGATGCACTTTGATGATGGATAAATGCATTTTTATGATGGATGGATGCACTTTTATAATGGATAAATGCACTTTTATGATGGATAGATGCACTTTTATGATGGATGGATGGATGGATGGATGTGCTTTTATGGACTTCAAAACAGAAACAGCCATTCACTGCCATTATAAAGCTTGGAAGAGCAGGACATTTTTAATATAACTCTGATTGTATTCGTCTGAAAGAAGAATGACATATACACCTAGGATGGCTTTAGGGTGAGTAAATCATGGGCTAATTTTCATTTTTGGGTGAACTGTCCCTTTAATGCTTCCGTATGTCTTTCGCTCTCAGACGTACTTCAATGACAATATCCTGACTCTGATCCGGACGCTGGTGACGGGAGGCGCCACACCGGAGCTGGAGGGTTTGCTGGCGGAGGAGAACGCTCTGCGAGGAGGTTACAGCACTCCTCAAACTCTGGCCAACAGAGACCGGTGCCGGGTCGCTCAGCTGGCGCTCTATGACGGACCCTTCGCTGACCTGGGGGTGAGACACCTTCAGTTTTATTCATGTTTAGATGACATGCAGTGTCTCAGAATAGTGGATGAACACATGAAATGTCAGTAGCTATGTTTCCATCCATATATTTTTATGCAAATTTTGGGATATTGCTTAAGAAACGCTGGATGGAAATGCCAAGATGGGCATAAATTGATCAGCTGTCTAACGGTTCCTCGATCGCGTATCGTATGCATTTGTTTATTTTTGTTATTTTTATGTACAGCATTGGGACCCATTGTGGTTTTTAAAAGTGCTCTAGAAATAAAGTTGAGTTGAGTTAAAGTCTACAAATGTGCAAATTGTGCATACGTATACGCTTAATTGAGGTGGATAATTTTTTATCCAATCAGAAGACACACGGATAAGCTATGATAAAACTCATTTACCAAATAAATCCCTCGCTGTCCAACACAAAGTTTGCGTCAGAGGATGTGATTGAATGTTTGGAGGCTTGATAGTAAAATACTAAAACTGTTCCTCTAGCAATTTAGTAGCACCATATAATGTGTATGTTTTTTGTTTTTCAGGATGGTGGCTGTTATGGTGATTTATTCTGTAAAGCATTAAAGACGTACAACATGTTGTGTTTTGGGATCTACCGTTTAAGAGACGCACACCTGGGATCACCCAGTCAGTGCACCAAACGGTGAGTGAACACACGCTTCACTGTGGTTTGTTGTGTTCGTATGGAACATGTATGTAATATCTTTTTTTTAAATAGCGTTTTTGAAAGAGTCCCTTTTTGCCGCACCAAGGCTTGGTGCGGCTTGGTGTTTTATTTGATCTAAAACAGTAATATTGTGAAATATTATTACAATTTAAAATATCTGTTTTCTATGTGAATATACACTCACCGGCCACTTTATTAGGTACACCTGTCCAACTGCTCGTTAACACTTAATTTCTAAGCAGCCAATCACATGGCGGCAACTCAGTGCATTTAGGCATGTAGACATGGTCAAGACAATCTCCTGCAGTTCAAACCGAGCATCAGTATGGGGAAGAAAGGTGATTTGAGTGACTTTGAACGTGGCATGATTGTTGGTGCCAGAAGGGCTGGTCTGAGTATTTCAGAAACTGCTAATCTACTGGGATTTTCACGCACAACCATCTCTAGGGTTTACAGAGAATGGTCCGAAAAAGAAAAAACATCCAGTGAGCGGCAGTTCTGTGGGCGGAAATGCCTTGTTGATGCCAGAGGTCAGAGGAGAATGGCCAGACTGGTTCGAGCTGATAGAAGGGCAACAGTGACTGAAATAACCACTCGTTACAACCGAGGTATGCAGCAAAGCATTTGTGAAGCCACAACACGCACAACCTTGAGGCGGATGGGCTACAACAGCAGAAGACTCCACCGGGTACCACTCATCTCCACTACAAATAGGAAAAAGAGGCTACAATTTGCAAGAGCTCACCAAAATTGAACAGTTGAAGACTGGAAAAATGTTGCCTGGTCTGATGAGTCTCGATTTCTGTTGAGACATTCAGATGTTAGAGTCAGAATTTGGCGTAAACAGAATGAGAACATGGAACCATCATGCCTTGTTACCACTGTGCAGGCTGGTGGTGGTGGTGTAATGGTGTGGGGGATGTTTTCCTGGCACACTTTAGGCCCCTTAGTGCCAATTGGGCATCGTTTAAATGCCACGGCCTACCTGAGCATTGTTTCTGACCATGTCCATCCCTTTATGGCCACCATGTACCCATCCTCTGATGGCTACTTCCAGCAGGATAATGCACCATGTCACAAAGCTCGAATCATTTCAAATTGGTTTCTTGAACATGACAATGAGTTCACTGTACTAAAATGGCCTCCACAGTCACCAGATCTCAACCCAATAGAGCATCTTTGGGATGTGGTGGAACGGGAGATTCGCATCATGGATGTGCAGCCGACAAATCTGCGGCAACTGTGTGATGCCATCATGTCAATATGGACCAAACTCCCTGAGGAATGCTTCCAGCACCTTGTTGAATCTATGCCACGAAGAATTGAGGCAGTTCTGAAGGCAAAAGGGGGTCCAACCCGTTACTAGCATGGGGTACCTAATAAAGTGGCCGGTGAGTGTATAGTAAAGTGTAATTTAGTCCTCTGATCAAAGCTGAATTTTCAGCATCAGTCTTCAGTGTCACATGATCCTTCAGAAATCACTCTAATATGATGATTTGCTGCTCAAGAAACATTTATGGTTATTATCAATGTTGAAAACAGTTGTGCTGCTTCATATTTTTGTGTTTTTCAGGATTCTTTGATGAATAGAAAGTTTAAAAGAACATCATTTATTTGAGTAACAATTTATTTTGATGGTCCCCTTTAGATATTGTGTTATCCATGGGTTTGTTCACACTTGGATGTTTGTTTGGATTGAAACGAACTCTGCTGCGATTGCTCTGTTAGTGCGGTAAGAGTGAGCGCTGCCGTCTGAACCCTGGAGCGCACCAAACTAGCGGGCCGAGACGCTCACAAGATGGGTCTCAGTTCGCTTCCAAACCAACTCTGGTGCGGTTTGGATGAAATCTGAACACAACACAGACCAAAGACATGTGAACCAACCTAAAGCAGGACATGATGTCACAGGATGTGACCCTAAAAAGGACAGAATGCTCGTCTCGTCATAATCCTGATGTTCCCCATCATAGTTGTGTGTGTGTGTGTGTGATGGAGGGATTCCTGCCGCTGTTTTGACTCCTTTATACACTTTATAAGCTATTCACAAGTTCTCAGCTGGTCAAAATACCATCATATGTAGTCTACGCACACACAACGAGCGCATTTGTCCCAGAACACACCATTGTTTTGGATGCAACACGTAATAAAAACCGACCAATCAGGTTGTAAACATATCCCTATGCCTTAGGCTCAGTGTTAAAATGCCAATGTGAACTCTAAGGACTAAATGTCAACTTACAGATCCATAAAATAAATGAACAATACATATTACAAACATAAAAATATAAAGGTTGACGAATGAAAAATTACTAATAAAGTCTACATATCTTTATTGAAAAAAAAGTTGTTTTGATATAAATAGTGCAGAATTTGAAAATATTCAAAAATGTAATAATTTTCAGCTTTTTCACAGATGTTTTTTGTTTGTTATTTAGTCTGGACCAAACGAGCCAAGCGAACTGAACTACAAGTGTGAACGCCCTATAAATAACGTTGACGCTACATGTCAACTAACTCAGAGTATTAGTAGAGTTTGTTTGGGTTCAGGTTTGAGGAATAGGTTGGCATGTACAGTAGATGCAACCTTACTTACATGACATCGAATGAAAGAAGTAGCAAGACTCTTGAGAAACCAGCAGTTGGACATGTTCTTCAGATTTGCGTGTGTGGTTGGGCGAAAGTAACATCAATCCATGGTCTTCAGGTACATCAAGCACGGAAGAAATGCCTGAAAACCATCAACCCAGGGCCCCGCATTGACCAGATTCTGTCAAGAAGAAGGTTAAATTAGCCGGATGAGAATCAGCGGCAGGAAGAACCCCACAGTCCGCAGAGAATCAGCACCCCAGGGAATGAGGAGGAAGCTTCAGGTAGAACCACCAGTCCAAGACAACAACAACCAGCCCACCGCAAAAAAAGAAAACATGCAAGGATTAATCCGTTGGTGAAATGGCCAAAATCAAACAGCAAGGAGTGGGAAACCATCAACACAGACTTAAGCCTTATCCTAAATAACATCAAAGGGTCAGCCGAGAAGAAGCTGGAGAAGATGGGCAACCTTATTTACAGCTACGGAGAGGAGAAATGTGGAGTAAAGGAACAAGTCAAAAAGAAACACATGCTTCCCGCCCCCAAGTCCTGTCGGCTGCAAGAAATCCAACAACTTGTAAAAGAGAGACGACGGCTAAGAAAGTTGTGGAGAAAGGCGACAGTGGAAGAAAGGGAAGGCATCAACGTACTTCAAGAAGACCTAAAGCAAAGGGTCTCAAAACTCTGCCGAGCAGAAAGCTTACGGATGCGCCGGAACAAAAAAGAAAAAGTCAGAACCGATTTCTATAAAGACCCGTTTAAATTTGTGAAAGGCATATTCACAAAGGAGAAGAGTGGATCCCTGAAAATATCAAAAGACCAGGTTGAAGAGCATCTGAGAACCATCTATACAGATGGGAAAAAAGATGAACCGATCGTTGTCCCCACTGACATCCCTCCAATATCATCACCACAGCATCAGTTAGATATCAGCCCTCCCAAGCTGAGCGAGGTGAAGCAGCCAGTGAAGAAGGCAAGATCGGCATCTGCACCAGGCCCTAATGCCGTACCGTATAGTGTCTACAAGAACGCTCCAGATGTTTTGAAGATTCTGTGGAAGAACATGAAGGTGGTGTGGGTCAAGCAAATTATTCCGAAAGCCTGGCGAAGAGCGGGAGGGGTGTTCATCCCAAAAGAAAATAACTCGACCAACATTGAACAGTTCCGCCAGATAAACCTGCTGAACATTGAAGGCAAGATCTTTTTCAGTGTATTGGCACAACCACTGACACAGTATTTAAAACAAATCCACTTCATTGACACTTCAATTCAAAAGGCTGGCATCGCAGGCTTTTCGGGATGCCTGGAACATAACAGCATTATATGGCATCAAATCCAGACTGCAAAGAAAGAAGGGAAAGATCTTCACGTCTTGTTCTTTGATCTGCCCAATGCCTATGGTTCAGTTCCTCATCCAGTTCTGTGGGCTGCCTTTGATTTCTTCCAGGTTCCGACTACAATCACGAATCTAGTAAAACACTACTTCCTGGATCTACAGTTTTGCCTTACAACGTCAGGCTTCACCACAAATTGGCAACCGCTGGAGATAGGTATCATGGCGGGATGTACCGTCTCCCCATTGGCCTTCACGATGGCAATGGAGAGGTCGTGGGAGGAGAACGACTACAAAGTAATCAGAGGTTACCACCAATTCAAGCCTATATGGACGATCTAACAACACTCACAACAACTGTCCCCTGCACCAAAAGATTGCTGGAGAAACTTCATCAAAATATAACATGGGCGAGGATGAAGTTAAAGCCCAATAAGTGCAGAAGCATCTCCATCATGAAAGGCCAAGTTACAGACCAAAGATTTCATGTTGGTGGAACACCTGTTCCAACTATCTCAGAAATGCCAGTAAAGAGCTTGGGGAGATGGTATGATGCAAAGCTCAAAGACACCACAGTTTGAACAACTAAAAAATGATACTAGCATGTACATGGAGCGCATCAATAAGACCTTGTTGCCAGGAAAACTCAAGGTATGGTGTTTTCAGTTTGGAATACTCCCAAGACTCTTGTGGCCGTTAACCGTATATGAGATCCCCGTCGCCAAGGTTGAAAAGTTGGAACGGCTAGTAAGCACACAGCTGAAGCAGTGGCTTGGAATTCCATGTTGTTTAAGTTCTGTTGGACTTTATGGACATGGCAAGTTGGAATTACCAATCACAGGGCTCGTTGAAGAGTTCAAATGCACCAAAGCAAGGCTCGTCATGACCTTATCTGAATCTGAGGATGCAGTCATTCGAACAGCAGCCCCCCGGGTGGTAGCAGGAAGAAAATGGACTCCATCAGAAGCTGTTCAGAGTGCAAAGTCTGCACTTAATTTCAGAGATCTGGTTGGACAAGTACAGCATGGAAAGGCAGGGTTCGGACTCATCCCCAAAACTCCTCTGTGGCATAAAGCAACATCAGTGCAGAAGAGACAGCTAGTGGTAGAGGAGGTAAGGAGACAGGAGGATGGAGAGTGACATGCCAAAGCCGTATCAATGGCCAAGCAAGGGAGATGGACCAACTGGGAGGGTCTGGAGAAAAAAAACCTCAGCTGGCGTGACATTTGGCAGATGGAGAGAGCTCAGCTGAGTTTTGTCATCAGGGCCACATACGACCTGCTACCCTACCCCCAAAATCTGAAAGTGTGGTATGGAGAAGACCCTGCCTGTTCCCTTTGTCAAGTACCTGCATCCCTAAGGCACATTCTATCAGGGTTTACTACAAGTCTCACCCAAGGGCGCTATACTTGGCGGCATAACCAAGTTCTCAGAGAACTGGCATCAATAATGGAACAGAAGCGAACCACCACAAACAATCTCCCACAAACATCGGCAGTACAGGTCAACTTCCCAAATTTCGTACCAGCTGGCCAAAATCAGAAACAGAGTACAGCACCTAAGGATACAAGCATCCTGCAGTCAGCGCGGGATTGGAAGTTGGAAGTGGACCTTGATAAGAAGCTTGTATTTCCCCCAGAAATAGTGGCTACAACACTCCTGTGGTCTCCAACAACAAAACTTGTATATGTTGTGGAATTAACAGTACCATGGGAAGATGGAGTTGAAGAGGCTTATGAGAGGAAAAAGAATAAATATTCCGACCTAGCAGCTGAAGCATCCCAGAATGGCTGGAAGACCAGTATCTTCCCAGTAGAGGTAGGATGCAGGGTATATGTTGCTACATCTACCACCAGTTTGCTGAGAAAGATAGGGGTGAAGGGTCGCTGTCTCCAACAGGCCATCAAGTCCATGTCAAGTGCTGCCGAGAAAAGCAGTAACTGGCTCTGGATCAAGCGTAAGGACTCCAACTGGGCAGCAAGGTAGAGACAGATGGTATGCGGTCAGGCTTAGGCCCGACTCAGGGAGAAGGACCCCCCTGCCATGCAGAGCCCATCAGGGATATGGAGGGTATGGCATGGAGGGGGGTGTACCTGGGACGCTGGGTACACTGTTGAGCCTTATGGAGACGTTGTGGGCTTCAATCAACGAAACGTCGATGAAGCAGGGTACCCACCTGATGACTCCAATGACATACCTTATCCTCCTTTTCACCACTACACACCGACTGCTACTGTCAAGAGTTTTCTACTAAAGGGATTGAAACATCTAGTCCTATTAGCTTTACTACAGTATATTCAACAGAATGTCTGAAGGGGACCATCAAAATAATATTAGAAACAGATTTTTTAATAGCAATGTAAAAGAAACTTTTGATCAATTTAATGCTTCCTTGCTGAATACAAGTATTAATTTCTTTCGAAACTTTTGCTTATATGAGCAAGTTATTACTCTTTTCTTCCGTAGATTCCCTTTCTTCACTCACTCGTTTGGTGTCAGCCGAAACTATCGTCACTGGTGTGTGAACGTTTGTTCCTCTCGTTACAGATACGTGATCACGAACCCTCCGTACGACTTTGAGCTGGTGCCTACAGATCTGATCTTCTGCCTGATGCAATTCGACCACAACGCCGGCCAGACCCGCGCCAACCTGTCCACCAACTCCACCAACTTCCCCAGCAAGAAGAGCCCGTCGGGCCAGTCCATCCCATCATCCACTCGACCGGGCCGGAGCCGGAGCCGGGACCAGCGGGACAAACAGAAGTACGTTCCTCTGTAAGCGTTTGAGCTGTGCCTGTTTGAGCGTGTGGTTCTGGCGCCATGTGACGTCACGGACTCATCATCACATGGTTCGGTATATCCAAACGCAAATTACGGACTTTATTTTTTTACTTCAGACGTATCAAATGTTTACTTAGCATTATAGATGTTGCATCTGTATAAAGCACCGGCCACCGTTTACACGAGAAACCATGTTTTTTGTTGGATGATTAGTATGTCTTTCACGGGTAACACTGTGTCGGGTCAATTCATCAGTTTTGCACTTTAACTGCACTTTAACCGTAGACTCTCACACCACCTGACCTGACGAGTGCTTGTGTGACTCTCACACACCTGACCTGACGAGTGCTTGTGTGACTCTCACACACCTGACCTGACGAGTGCTTGTGTGACTCTCACACACCTGACCTGACGAGTGCTTGTGTGACTCTCACACACCTGACCTGACGAGTGCTTGTGTGACTCTCACACACCTGACCTGACGAGTGCTTGTGTGACTCTCACACACCTGACCTGACGAGTGCTTGTGTGACTCTCACACACCTGACCTGACGAGTGCTTGTGTGCTTCATGAACGCGTGACGCCTTCGTGCTTCTATATCCTAATGTCCCGTATCAGATTACCGCTTACAGTGGGCTCCAAACGTCTGACGCTTTGGATTTTTGTTAAAAAATAATATATTAAATACAAAAAAAAGTCAATAAAAAACATTCATTTATTATTTAAAGGGACATATAATGCCATTTTCATACAAGTTAATTTGATTATTTAGGGTCAAAATGAAAAGTTTGTAATATACTTTAATTAAAAATTCTCATTAGGATTGTAACACAAATTTTACTTGGTCAAAAACAGCTCTGTTTTCAGCACGCCGTTTCAGTGCATGTGTCTATAAATGATAATGAGCTTTGTTGACTCCGCCCCTCTGTTCTGCGGGCGTTTAGACACAACGCACGTGGAGTGTTGCCTTGACAACAGTTGAGGGTATATTTTGGGTAACATAATGTCACTTTTATATGTACTGGCAGGGTAACGTTAGAGTAACTTAGTGAGATGCACGAGCGCTATGTGTTTACTGATGTATACGTACGTTTGTAATAACACAAAAACCATAATGCGTTGTTCATTATAAACGTGAGATTATGAATTATATTGAGAACGTCGTACATAGAAAACATGCCGTAATGTACCCTGAGTGTAAACCTTAGACGCATTCATCGTGAAGCGTGCAAGCGATTTGCAAAGATTAATATAAAGGTTAATAAAACTTTACACTCACTTCTTCTAGAGGTGCAGCAGGAACACGAATATCTGGTACCGATCCTTTATTCAGGAGCAGCTTCTTAGCAAAACCAGCTTTATACTGACCCTCGTTTATAAAGCAGTCTGGTGAGAAATGATTTGCCAAACATGAACGCATTGACGTTGATCGTGGGGAATATTCCCTTCGAAAACAAAACTCAGCCACTGCGTCTTCAGCGGTTCGGGTTTAGGAACATTAAAATGACTGTGTTCGTTATTACACCCAAGAACAGAACACCACAATCGCTTAGACGCCATTCTGCTCCAGCGCATCAACAATGACGGACTATGATGACAGCTCGCTCAGGGCGGGTCTGTGTTGAAACGCTGCTGTCAATCAACAATCGTGGGAGGGGCTTCCGTTTTATTGACGTCACATGGTCAAACGGCTCGATTTGAGACTGGGAAAAAGATATAAGGAGATTAAAACAAAAACACTGGATGGATTTTTATCATTATATGATGGTTGTGTACAGGCACTGCCAACACACATTTCAGTAAAATCAACTTGTAAAAGTGCATGTACCATTATATGACCCCTTTAATAAATAATTACATTTTTTGATCATTTAAATTGCAGTTAAAATTTAAATAAACTACTAGTGATTTCTTTTTTAACAATTTTAATTCACAACACATCTAAAATATTTCATGTATTTTTGCAATAGAGAAAAATCTGTATAATTCATAGATAAAAAATAAATGAACAATATATATTAGAAATATAAAAAATATCAAAGAAATGTACCAAATATAAAGGACGACGAATGAAAAATGACAAATAAAGTGAACATATTTTAATTGAAAAAATAAATAAAGCCAATAATTCAAAAAATGAATATTAAATAAATAATATGACATTTTCTGATAATATAAATTGCAGTGAAGCGTTTCAATTTAAAACTGTATAGCAAATTTAGATTCACAACACAAATGATGTCTAACAAACATTTCATGGATTCTTGCAATAGAGAAAAATTAATTAACAATACATATTACAAATATAAAAATATAAAGTTTGACGAATTGAAAATTACTAACAAAGTCTACAAATCTTAATTAAAAAAAAACATGTTTTTTGATATAAATAGTGCAGAATTTGAAAATATTATTAAAAAATGTACGATTTTTCAGCGTTTCCTCAGATGTTTGGACTCACTGTATTCATACATTAATAAACTGTATGTGCTCATAAAGAATGTTAGTATTTTTCAAATGCTTTTATGTTCGATTCACTGCCTTCTTGTGACGACGGACGACAGAATGAGAGTATAATCACATGATCAGCCTTGACAGACACGCCTAGCACATGCATGAAGACGTGCGTTTATGTTAGACGTTTGCCGCTGTGAAACAAAAATGTCACTCATGATTCCAGAGCAGGTTTTACAGTCAGGTTAGTGACAGGATAATTGTGATTTAAAAACCCAAACTGAACTGAACCTGATGGACACACACTGAGGAATGACTCTCTCACTGATCATTGATTGGACAGATTGGACGTCTCGCGATGGGAAATCGAGCTTTATTCCCACGGATGATGCTCATGCTCAGATGTTTCTGTGCTATTAAGAGGTAGCGCTTTTGACAAATGTTTTATTTTCCACTTTCAATATTTCTAAGGCTGTTAAACACTTTTGGACTGAACTCGATGTCCTGTTTGGTTGGTACAACCGAATATCTAAAAATGCTGCGATGTTTGAGGAGTTTTTGTAAAGAAGCAAGCAGGACATTTGTTTGCTTTCTCTGTTTAATCCACGTTCATCGCTATATAACATGCTCACACCAAAGTTTTGATTCTCTAAATATCAAGTGTAAGGGATTTTTCTTATATGATTATAATGAACTAGTGTATGCGACATCTTAAACATAATAATAATAAAAAAATTCTGTATTAATGATGTGAAGTCTTTGCTTTTAAAACGCCTTTGCTGGGGCGTCTCAGAACCTCAGTGACATTTGAAATGATTTTTAACATAAGCACAAATGCATTTTTTAAACATGCATATATATATATATATATATATATATATAAGATGATTGAGTTGCATCAAAGAATCAGGATGTTTCCACTTACACCATTTACCTTTACCTTTCTTTACCTAAAGTGCGCCCAGGACGAATAGAGCGGTCTCAGGTATGGAAATAAATGCATGTCATTACTGCAACATCTCTCATAATTCAGATGTTATGAGCTGAAACCCCGTGCATTCAAACCGTCTCGCCGGCATTAACTCTTTGCTTTCTAACTGAAAGTAAAGCCGCTTTTGTTCTGGCCGTTCTGAAGGTCATCTGTGCAGTGCATGTGTCTTCTCTAGCTCAGGAGATCTGCTCTCCTTCAGTAGTTGTGTTGATACATACGAGCTCCATAATGCTTTCACCATGGTGAGCGTCTGTAGAGGCGGAGCTAGTGTCTGTAGTCCTGTAGTACATTCTTCCTATGTAGTTTGCATGGTTTTGATTTCCAAACATATGAGCATGATTACAATGAAATCATTTTAAAAAGTCCCTACATTGCAAATGATCTCAAATGCCTTCATCATGAAAAAAAAAAAAATGAAAAAAATGATTCTAATATAAAAAAACAGTCATACATTTGCACTAGAAAATCAAACAAGGTCAAGAAATCCTCCAAAATATTGCTGATTATTTTTCTTCAAAATATCAAAAAAGTCCCTACAGTGCAAATTATATCAAATTCCTGCACTATTTTTAAAAAAACATTTAAACAATTTAAAAAAGCAGTCACACACAGATAAATGCACAAGTACGAGCAAGAAATCCTACAAAATATCTCTGAACATTTTCTGAAGTAGTCGCTTTATTTTAACTAAATTACATTTTGTATTGATAAATGCACAAGAAAATAAAAGTCCAAGAAATCCTACTGAATATTAATGATTACAATATATAAATGTCCAAGAAATCCACAAGAAAATGTTCAGCAATATTGTGTGTCACTGGAGGAACTGCTCTTGATTTGGCTTTTTTTATTTTTTACCAAATATAATGTTTTCATAGATAAAAACATGATCAAGAAATCTTATAAAATATTGGTGATTGCTACTGATCTCAAATACCTTATTAAATGATAAAAAAAAAAAAAAAAACACTTGCATGATCAAGAAAATATAAGATCAAGGAATCCTACAAAATATTGCTGGTGAAGTGTACAAAAAATCTTGCTGATTCTACACTAAAAAAATGCTGGGTTGTTTTAACCCAATTTTGGGTCAAATATACAGACAACCCCAAACGTTGGATTAAAATGGAATTAAAAAATGTAACCCAACGGCTGGGTTTGTCCATATTTGACTCAAAATTGGGTTAAATCAACCCAGCATTTTTTAGAGTGTAATAACTCCTTTATTTAACTTGCATTTACCAGTATATTCCATATTAAAGGGACAGTTCACCCACAAATGAAACTTCTGGCATCATTATTTACTCACTCTCATGTTGTTCGAGACCTGTGTGAGTTTCTTTCTGAACACAAAAGAAGATATTTTGAAGAATGTCGGTAACCAAACATTTGACGGGACCCATTGACTATCAACCCATCAACTGTCCGATTCCCAACATTCTTCAAAATATCTTCTTTTGTGTACAGAAAGAAACTCACACAGATCTGGTGAACTGTCCCTTTAAATCATTCCCGTTTGCTTCACCTGTTCTTCTCGAGACGTCGCATAAGCACACGGTGAAGTGAAGCCGTCCGTCTGAATGCAACATGTACATTATGAACTGCACATTTCAAAACTCAACAATGCACGAGAATATGCATAGCTGAACGTGTGTGTGTAGAGCATGCTTCAGGCCGTAATGATGTCAATCATTCTGCAGACAGAAACTGGTACACGGATGAACCCGACAACAGCTTCCCCAGGAACACACAACTCAAACACACCAACACACACGCAGCCAATCAGATCAATCAGTACAAATCCACCAGCACCCTCATCCAGCCAATCAGAGAAGTGGAGGAGCCGTGAGACGACCATGGACTCGCCGGATCACGGACACACTGAATGTGAATGTGTGTGTTATTGTGGCCGCTGCTCATCGACAGACTGTCTATATTAGATTGTGTGCATTTAAATAATGCTCGTTGTTTTTCCCTGCTCTCATCGACTTGAATAAATGTACAACCGTTAGACCTTATTCAGAGCGGCGCCATCGACTCACCGGGCCTCGCTTATAAAACGCTGTGTAGAAACCGTCCTGCATTTGACCTCAGGATCATTCCTCAAACGTGCGTACGTGTGATTCAGAGAACGTGAAGTGAAAGATAAAAATGATCTTGAAATTGAATGGTTTCAGATCTGCACCTTGTTAAGCCGCCTAATTACCCAGCATGCAATAGCCGTCATTTCTCCGTTTAGACCCGGCTTTGAGTAACACACTTCTAGCCTAAATAACCTTGAATTTGGTTACATGTCGTTTTTGCTAAATAACTTGTGAGATGTAAGATATTCCATCATGTAAGCAAAGTCAACAGTGATTACAAGGTGTTTGGTTTCATTTCTTCACTCATTTCATTTCTTTATCTAATTATTAGTCTATTCCTGAGAGATGGTTTAGACGTCTATTACATTTTCACTGACAGCCCAAATTTGCCTTGTTTTAGCCCAGACGTCTGAGCTGTGTTGGACGGCTATTAGACCGACGTCTTTTAAACACAAAATGGCTTGCTGGGTAATGTCAGTAACTAATAAAAGAGTCCAAACCGTTTACTTGTGAACGCCAAGCAGCAAGAATTTGTTTAGATTTTCACATAGTAAACCCACTTTTCACCACACCTGCCAATGGCAAATTTACCAGCCATAAATATTTTTAGGTAACACTTTACTTGAAGGGCTGTGTGTGTATAAGACTGACATGACACCTTCATAATCATGACATGTCAGTCTTACACTCTTAACAACGCTGGGTTGTTTTAACCCAAATTTGGGTCAAATATGGACAAACCCAAATGTTGGGTTAAAAATGTAATTTAAAATTTTAACCCAACTTCAACTTTCACTTTCAACAGTAATTCTTTAATTACATTTTTAACCCAACATTTGGGTTTGTCCATATTTGACCCAAATTTGGGTTGAAACAACCCAGCATTTTTTAGAGTGTATGCACACCCCTTCAAGTAAAGTGTTGGCTTTTTTTGTTTACCGACGCAGATTTGAACTCGTTTGGCGAGTGTTGGTTTCAGGCCGGCCTGCAGTTCTCCGCAGGAAAAATGTTCCACATCAGAGACGTGTTCTGGACTTTAGCGAACGCACACACACTAAGTTCAAATATGTGCATATGCATGTTTCATAAATGAGGCCCACCGTGTTTCCAATGGCATCCGCTGTATAAAGCTAGATCACACAATCATATTGTCTGGAGTTTTTTTGCCTGCTGAAATCTCTCGGAAAGCTTTCAAAATCAAAGATGGCGCTGCCGTGAATAAGGACTTTTTAATTTATGGATTCTTACCAAACCAGTTGAGAACCTCTGGTTTTGGACATAATATAGACGTATACTTGAAGAAGAGAAGAGCGTAGAATGTACTACACTTACTGTAGATGGCAGAAATCTCTTCTAAATATAATGTATAAATAAGAGTTTTATAGGTTAATAGGCACATAATTGGATTTACATCACTCTATTTGCAACTTACATGTAGTTCGGTCTTCAAGCTGAAGAGCTTGGATGTGTGATGTGGTCATGTGATTGGGCACGGGTCGCGTAGAGCGGGCACGGGTCATGTGATTGGGCACGGGTCATCTGATTGGGTACAGGTCATGTGATTGGGCACGGGTCAAGTGATTGGGCACGGGTCATGTGATTGGGCACAGGTCGCGTAGAGCGGGCACGGGTCATGTGATTGGGCACAGGTCGCGTAGAGCGGGCACGGGTCATGTGATTGGGCACGGGTCATGTGATTGGGCACAGGTCATGTGATTGGGCACGGGTCATGTGATTGGGCACGGGTCATGTGATTGGGCACGGGTCATGTGATTGGGCACGGGTCATGTGATTGGGCACGGGTCATGTGATTGGGCACGGGTCATGTGATTGGGCACAGGTCATGTGATTGGGCACGGGTCATGTGATTGGGCACAGGTCATGTGATTGGGCACAGGTCGCGTAGAGCGGGCACGGGTCCTCCCTCAGTCCGGGTCTCTGTCCGGCACCAGAACCCCGAAAACCCAATCCAGATGCTGGACCTAGAAAACACACAGCGGTTATTAATTACTGGCAGCTTCGCCATGTTCTTGTACTATGCGTTGTAGCAATAAACATGCTGTTTCGCATTATTTCTTCTGATAACTATGCTTTCTTTTTTTGTACCTCAATTATAAATTGTGAGGGTTAATAGATAATCAGCTTCACGAACCTTCTCAGATGAGGTGAAAGTTCATGACAAACATTCACTGATCAGTGCCGCTTGAGAACGATTAAACGCATTCCACATCTTGTGCCGATGGATCTGCAGTATTTTAGTGTGTTTTATTTGTTTAACCCTTTGCTTTCAATCTGATGAGGTTTTACTGTTCATAACAAAGTGCTGTTAGTCATTTTATATGTGGCCTTGAGCATCTGTGTCCACTTGTTCAGTCACTCCAGTGTTTTCTATTAAACCCTGATAAGGTTAAACACGTGCTTTACTTCTCTATGAGCTGATTTGAGATCAGTGCCGGGCAGAACCGGACTCGAGGGAGGAACCGTTCACACAGACCCGCTCCAGCGAACAGGATCTCAACATTTAAAGACTGGATGACTGAAAAGTGACACGAATATGCTCAAGGTGTTTGATTATTATGTGTCATTTTGGTGGTTCACATGAACACGGATGTATTTAAAAGAAAATGTCTTAAGCATTCAGTGCGAATGTCGTGGTTTAATGAAGTGAAACCGGATGGAAAGATGATTGTGTGCTGCTGGAGTGTTTAACGGGGCAACGCTGATATAAATACAATATATTATATGTACAAAAGCCTGTAAATAAAATGTACATGATTTTATTTTGTATTTTCACAGAATAAATATGGATGTATTAGTGCTGGTAACTCTGTAGTTATTTGATGCTTTTATTCACAGTCAAGAGTCTTGATCCAAGTCATAAAAACCACAGGTGAAATGCTTATTACTGAAACATACAAACAAACTAATGAAAATTAAGTGATGAATACAAAAATACATTAGTACCCATTTATATAATTTTTTGTATTTATAAATCAAAACAAAATTTTATGAAATAAAAAACGAATTAATGAACGAATGAATAATTAAATAAATAAATAATTTTATAAATGTATATTTATTAATGTACTTAATATTATACATTAATATTAAAGAGAAATGATCAATTAAAACAAATTAATGAATGAATTAAAGAAAATAAATAATACATTTTATAAATGTATTATACATTAATATTAATTTATTAAAAAAATACAAATAAATTAATTATGAAATAAAAAACTAATTAATAATTCAATTAAATAAATTATATGTATTTCATTAATTAATATTTATTTCTACAAAAAATCAAAGATGAATAAAAAATACATTTAAAGAAATAAAAAACTAATAAATGAACGACTGAATAATTAAATTAAATAAATAAATTGAATATATATATATATATATATTCAAACTTTTTTTTCATTTAATTAAAAGTAATTAATTTAATTAAAATAATTAACAAAAGTTTGTAAATACACACACAAATTTGTATGTTAGATATAAAGCATATAAAATTGATCAAATAAAATGTAAAATTTAATTATATATTCGTTTCGTATTGGTTATGATGCCAAACAACTCAAAAGTATTCAATCAAGAAACTGAATTTACACACTCCATTAGCTGAGATCATGTGTGATCGTCAATGTCACACCCAATCCCGTCCAATCAGCATCGAACCGGTCTCTCACCTGAACTCCTGCATCAGCACCACGGTCTCCATGACGACAGGACGCTCTCACCTGAACTCCTGCATCAGCACCACGGTCTCCATGACGACAGGACGCTCTCACCTGAACTCCTGCATCAGCACCACGGTCTCCATGACGACAGGACGCTCTCACCTGAACTCCTGCATCAGCACCACGGTCTCCATGACGACAGGACGCTCTCACCTGAACTCCTGCATCAGCACCACGGTCTCCATGACGACAGGACGCTCTCACCTGAACTCCTGCATCAGCACCACGGTCTCCATGACGACAGGACGCTCTCAGATGAACGGATGCTCAGATACGGGAGAGATCTCCACAACTCCTTCATGAACTCCACGACCATCAGAGAATCTGACGAAGCTTTATTCTCCCTGATAACAGGACAACGAGACGAGTGTGTTAGTGTTCAGGACTGATAATAAAGCCATCGGGAAACTGTGACCTGAGGAAACTGCTATTGCTCAGAGTCAGAGCGTTTCCGGAATAAATCAAGTAATAGTGTAAAACTAAGAAATACTCTTAGAATTGTCTCTGTTTCCATTAAAGCAACACCGAGTAACTTTTCCTCTGCGGTCGCCCTACAGGTTGGAAGCGGAATTGTCCATTACCGCTGTTGTAAATACTTTAGCCTAGCGCAGCCGACTGTCGCACGCGCACGCTAGCTGTTTATCCGGCACCAGCTTTGGAATGAACGATGTCCACAGACAAGGTAGAGTATGTTGCATGATTTCATGAAAGTATGATGTATTGTGACATCAGAAATGAAGAAAGTCAAGTCAAGTCAAATATATTTATATAGCGCTTTTCACAATACAGATTGTATCAAAGCTGCTTCACAGTATCAATCAAAACAACTTAACAGTGTTTGTTTATTACTGGAAAAGACATCCAAGTTTGGTAGAGCTGATCAGTGGTATGATGGGTCATTTAATTTGAATATCCCAAAATAATGAAAATGAAAAGAAAAACAAAATAATGACTATTGTAACGCTTGACGTAAAGCAAGTCAAATTTGTAGTTTTCTTATGTCTCATTAGAACTACAGAAACGGGACCCGATCTGGCAATCTTACACAGCGTGGTTATAGCAGATATAGGACCGCAAAGCCAATCCAGAAGTGCCTTTCACCCTGTTACGACTTGATGAACCACTGAAACCATTTTGGAAACATTATTCTAAGGTAAAATTATTTTAATTATTTACCATTATTTTAAAGTAAAAAAATCTTACTTAGTGTTGCTTTAAATGAATCTGCGGTTATCATTTCCTCTCCATCATGTCGTTCCAAAACTTGTATGAACTTCCTTTCTTTCTGTGGAACACAAAATATATTTGATTATTTATTATATTAAAAGATGTTTTACATGTTTTATTCCAATATAAAATGAAAAATGCTAACTTTATAATGCTGTGAAGCGTAGCCTATAAAATTATAGTCAGAAAAAAATATATATACGGAAGTTTATTTTAAAAAAACACCTACATTTTTATTCAAAGGCCCAATCAGAGCAAACACATGTAGTTTTGTGCAGATGTTTTTTATATGACCCAAAAAAAGTAAGATGAAATTCTGATGCTTGTAATATACATCAATGAGACCATTATAATATAAAGATGACACTTACATAAAATGCATATAAATATCAGTTATCGCTCTATATCTGGCAATATGTAATATGATCTTTATTTTAAATGATCAAAGCTTAAAACATATAACGCAATGCAATACAATGATGATTGACGGATGAACTAATAAACCTTCCTCAAAAGCCTGATGATCATATTTGATAAATATACCTGAGTGCTTCAGTCCAGTAAGTGTGCATCTTGAAATATTACTAACAATATCAATGTTATTCTCATGTTTACTTAATAAAATCAGTGCAGATTTGACACGAGCTGAAGGACGTTTGTACAGTTATACTTGATAAACAGTCTAAACTCTCAGTCATATGCAGTAGATTGGCTGTGATCAGGTTTATCAGCAGTTTTGAGCATTAGAAATCAGCATATCAAATATGATACATAGGATTTATGATGTATTTAGAGCGAGTTCTCTCTCCTCTGCCGAGGTCAAAGAGCAAAATAAACACGTAAATGCAACATAAATCGTCTCCATATCTGAGGGTCAAAGTTGTGCTTGTGCCCCGGAGCGACAGAAGCCTCGACACACACCGACTCCTGAAACACTGCCAACGGCCGTCCATCCATTTTACATGAGGAGAACCTCCTCACTCCATCCAGATCAAACACGCGTTTCAGAGTTTACAAGCTGTTAAAACGCCAGATAACACACTCATAAAACTGAACACCAGTGATGCAACCGAATAATAAAACGCTCAAAACATATTTTTCAATCTGAATGGAGTTTGCTTAGGATGCCGAATTCAAATAAGGATAACTTCTATGTGTCGTTTTTAATGATACATTATTTTTGCACAGTATGAATTACCCATAATCATGTCACATGCAACATATGGGATATCTTTAAACATTTCTTTACACGTTTGAAATGTCACCTATAGATTTCATTGATAATGCTTTAATTGTAAACAACATTAACTCATTTAGGCTTCATTATTTGCAAGGCTCGTGGCTGGGAAAAATAGTAACCAATAATTGAATACACGTTTCTTCCTAATTGATCAAACATGATGTCCCACGTTCCCAGTTGTCTATAAACTTCTTTCATAACATTTCATTCCCCACATCCATTTCTTGATGACATGTTTGCGTTGTATTACAGTACATATTTCTGTGTTTGTGTTTAAAATTTCATGATTGTTCCTATATTGGGATGCTTTACACGCTTCCAGCTCAAATAAAACTCTGGCAGGGTGAAAAACGAGTGTGCGGATGGAAAGTATTGTGGTGTGTAAGGCGATGCTGTTCTTTTGCAGGCGTGCTTTCAGTTCCACAACGATCCGTGACATTAATTCCCACATTATTGATGGGCTGTTCATGGCCAGCTCAGCTCAGCAAACCGGCCAGATCACATCTGATCATCACACACACACACACACACGATCGGGTTCTTAATGACTTGTCAGAAGAGACGTCTAGATGGATATCAGGAGACTGTATCAGTGAAGACATACGCATTCTCTGAATTGTTAATATGGATCATTTGAACTCTGTTCTTAACGAATGAGACATGTTAAATATCAGCTATCCCTTTATTTTACTATTAAACATCAAGTACCAGCTATTCCTTTATTTTACAGTGTTTATGCTTATGGAAATATTACCAGACTGTAGTATTCACACATTGGGTCTCATTCATGAAACATTCGTAAATATACGAGTAAATATGCGAGCGATTTGCGTGTAAAGAGACCTTCCCGAAAACTCATCTCCTGATTCACAAATACTTCGTAAACGTCAGATGTGAGAGTGAAATGTGTGTGTGTGTTAATGAATTCCAATCAGTCGTAAATGGGACGCGCGTGCACGCTCATTCTCAATTACCATAAATCCCGCCCATTAAATCCGACTGGCAACTAAATATGGGCATCATATTATGACACCAAACGAAGGATTTCAACATGTCTTCTCAAAAACGAATGAAAAAGAAAAATTTCTCAGATGCATAAATCGAAGTTATATTATCAGATGTTCATTCAAAACACCACATTTTATTTTCAAGCATAGGCTATAGTGGCATATCAGGTCCATTACAGATGCAGTTAATGGAGTTTCATCTGTTGATCA